GGATTACAGGCGTGAGCCACCGCGCCCGGCCTATAACTTCATTTTTTTAAGTAGAAATAAATAAAAGCGGGGATTTTTTTTTCTTACTTCTTTGACCTCCTGCGTATCACAGAGAGGAAAAAAAAAAAACAGTGTTTGTCCCTTACTCTGGTGAACACCCGTATACCCAACACCAGCTTCAACAATTACCAACTCCCAGCCAGCCGTGGTCCATCCCTCCCCCACCCCCTGCCTCTGCCCTGCAGTATTTGAAAGCAAATCCCAGGCATGGTATCATTTCATTCTTAAATGTTTCTATAGAGAAATATTATATTAATAGATGAGGTCTCTATTTAAAACAAAACCACAATAACCACATTATCATTATCATGCCTAAAAAGATCAGCAGTCCCTTTAATATCATCAGATACCCAGTCAGCCCTCACATTTCCTTGATTGCCGTATAATTTCTTGATTGCCATGTAATACTACTCGGTTTACTTGCTTCCGGCTTTCGATGAAGGTCACACATTTGCAGTCAGTGGAGGAATTTTTTTTTTTAGGTCTCAGTTGATTTATGGACTCTCTCTCTCTGTGTGTCTCTTTCTCTCTCTTTTATTTCTTGCAATTTATTTGGTGAGGAAACTTAGTCACTTGTCCTGTAGAATTTTCCACAGTCTGGATTTTGCTGATTGCACCCTCGTGGGGTCATTGAACGCATTCCTCTGAACACCACATTTGCAGAAAGCTGGAACGTAAAGCTAGGGGCTAATCAGATTCAGGTTTGATGACTTTTGTTTTTGGAAATATGACTTCCTGGATGGTGGTGTTTATTCCCACCAGAAGGCACAGAGTCTGGCTGTCCTTGTTGCTGTGATATTGCCGGCCTCTGACAGTCCTTGCAGGATCTGTTATCTCAATATGGGTTGTAAAACGGCAATAGGTAAATATTGTCATTTCTTCTTGATTTGTTAGCTGAATGCTTTAAAAACAAAACAAAAAAAAGTTTTCCTTTGTCAACTTTTTGGTTGCCCGAAGGTTCAGTGTATGTAGGGAAAACAGGGCACATGCTCAGTTCTTTCCCGTTGCTGACCAATTTCCAGTACAATGAATTAGTTCCTTAGCATCTTTTCGGGTGACAGGTAAGTTTGGGTGGCCAGGGGGGCATCTTTTTGTTTCGGTTTGCTTTTGGTAGTGTTGTTATGTATCTAAGGATTTTTTTAAACCCATCTGATATGTTTCAATCCACTACTGCTATTATGCTTACTGATGCCAGGTCAACCCATCACTGGCCGCTTCAACTTGACCTGTGAGTCCTCCCTGTGGTCTCTGCTTTCTTGCAACCTGGTGTGACACGATGTTGCCGGCTTTGTGTATTTCCTGCACCAGGCCAGCGATCAGCCATGTCTACGAGGAACTCTCGTTCCTTTTAGCAGGAAATGATAGTTAGACACCACAGTCTGGGCACATGGGGTGCTCCTTGTTTCACGGACGGTTTTGTTTCTAGGCCCCTGTGAATCAATAGCTAGGAAATAGTTTTTTTTTGTTGTTTTTTTTTTTGAGACAGAGTCTCGCTTTGTTGCCCAGGCTAGAGTGAGTGCCGTGGCGTCAGCCTAGCTCACAGCAACCTCAAACTCCTGGGCTCGAGTGATCCTCCTGCCTCAGCCTCCCGAGTAGCTGGGACTACAGGCATGCGCCACCATGCCCGGCTAATTATTTCTATATATATTAGTTGGCCAATTAATTTCTTTCTATTTTTAGTAGAGACAGGGTCTCACTCTTGCTCAGGCTGGTTTCGAACTCCTGACCTCGAGCAATCTGCCTGCCTCGGCCTCCCAGAGTGCTAGGATTACAGGCGTGAGCCACCAGGCCCGGCTGACTACAAGCCTTTTAATAATTTCATGTGTCTTTTGTCTGTATCTTTCTCCATGCTGAAAATCCAGTTCCTACAACACCAACATATTTACCCACCAATTTATCCTCCAAACACAGAACGGTTTCAGAATAGTCATGTCAACACTATGATTACTGAAAATGGTTTCTGATTTCTTGCAGTTCTTTTTGTGCTTGGGGTACACCCGTCTAGGGATATACTTCACAGGGCTGGGCTGCAAAGGCATTTGAAATAGTTTCTCTCTTGGTAATTTTGCTACAACTCAATACATTATTAGGTCCATTTGCTTCATTTTGTTTTCGATTTTTAGCGATTGATTTTTTTAATTTAATTTTGTTCTATAATTATGCAGAACATTTACATGGTTCCACAGTCAAATTTACAAAAGAAATTCGGAAAAATATCAGCTTCAATCTTGGTGCTCTTGGCCCCCGTAGGTTCGATTGTTTTTGTTTGTTTGTTTAGTGTGGTTTTTCCTTCCATCTCTTTACTATAAGCAAGAACAGCCAGCCCTCCTTGTCCGTGGGTTCTGCAACCATGGATTCAACCAAACTCACATCGAAAATAATTGGAAAATAATTATACCTGTACTGAACATGTACAGAATTTTTTTCTTGTCATTATTCCCTAAATATAGTATGACAACTATTTACATAGCATTTACATTTTATTGGGTATTATAAGTAACCCAGACATGATCTAAAGTATGCAGGGTGGTCTGCACAGGTTATATGCAGACACTATGCCATTTTATATCGGGGACTTGAGCTTCTATGGATTTTGGTATCTGCAGGGGGTCCTGGACCCAGTCCCCATGGATACCGAGGGATGGCTATCCATGCATGTACAAATGTGTACCCTCCCCTTCCTAGACAAAGGACAATGTGCTTTCCACACTTTCTCCATCTTGCTTTTTAAAATTATTATTTACAATATATGCCGGAGATTGCTCCATAGAAGTGTGTAGAGATATTCCATGTTTCTTTTTATATTCATCTCATACTTTATCATGTGGCTCTCCTGTAGTTTATCCAACTAGCCCCCTGGTGATAACATTTCGGTTGTTTGCAGTCTTTCACTACAACCACCCTTTCTGCAGTGAGGAGCTTTGTGCATATTACTTCTTTTTCTCTTTTCACAATAGAGCTTTGGACTAGATTCCTAGACATGAGATTATTGAGTCAAAGGGTAAAAATGTATATAAGTTTGCTGTTATTGCCAAATAGCCCCCCATTCAATTTAGTTATTTATTTTTTATTTAAATTTTTAAATAGGAAATATATTTATAAGATTCAAAAACCAACAAAAAGTAAAAAAAAATACATTTATAGCAGAAAGCCTCCATCCCCCCCAAACCCCATTGCCTGGTTTCAGTCCACCCAACCCCAACACTCTCCCCACCCTAAGTAACCACTAGCATTGGCTGCTTTGTGACCTCATGCATGTGAAAAGAGATAGAGAGACACAGAGAGAGAGGCAGAGGAAGAATTTCTCCTACTTTTATTTTTTTTTTAACTCCAGCGGCTAGAGCCACATCCACCATCCTACACTCTTAACCCCATAAAGCACTGTCTGCATGACAGCAGGAGGTACATCAGCTGCTCTGCTCCTCACTCCAACCCAGGAGGCAGCTACTGCCACCTCCTAGAGTAGCCTCGGCTCAGAGAGGTTGGATGACTTCCCCTGGGTCACACCTTAAGTGACAGAGCTGGGCCAGGTTCAGGTGTGCCGGCCACAAGACCGTGTCCCCTTCCTCTCCCCGTTGACTGCTCATTCTGTGTCCCCCAGGCCCCCCACACCCCACCAGCAGCACCACACCTAGTTACAAGGTTTGCCTCCCTGGGCCTCTGCTTCATCGGGGGAGCTGCCTGTCCCATCAGACCCATCCTAAGTCTGATGTTCATCGCCCAAAACACACCCCAGCCCTGCACAGGGGAGCCCGGTCTGCTTAGAATCCGGAACTAAGGACGTAATAGGGAAAATCAACACGGACTCCATTTAATAAGCAGAAGCCATGGAGACATCACAGAGAAACCTGAAACACCTGGCAGCTCTGTGGACCTTTGGGAGGCAGAGGTCGTCATGGACGGTCTCAGGGTCCACAGAGCTGGCGCCAGCTCCTGGCGGGTCCCTGTGCAAGCTACTCAGCCTTCCTGACCCTCGGTTTCCTTCTCCATAACAGCGTGGGACGATGATTTCCATCTAATCCCCATTGTGATGAACGCATGGGACTGGTAACATGGGTTACCCCAGCGCCAGGCACGTGGTAAGAGCTCAACAGACTGCAGCCCAGCACGTTTACCTGGGCTCCAAGCTCCCGTCCCACGGCTGCCCAGAGCCCAGCTGCTACAGGGCAGTAAATGACTCAAAAGGCAATTCTACTCTGTCCCCAGCCCTGAAGGGAAGGCCTCTTGTCCCTAAGCCTCCTCCTCTCCACGTGCAGCCGGAGAAGAACAAGTGCCTCTCATCCCAGAAATATTTTGAAACAGCCACAGGAAGCCATGCCCTGCCGCCAACTTGGCCTCCAGGTGTGGACCTGTAAGGTGGTGAAGTCAGCATTGTGACTCCACAAAACCACACTTCTGTGACCCTGTGCACTTCTTCTTGGTCATTTTTGTGGTCAAAGCCCAGTGATATTGTTTTAAGGCATCTATACAGACACTCTTTTTCCTTTATTTTTTTTTTTAAATCGTAGTGACTGTAATTGGCTTAAGCCCAACAACAAAAAAAAATATTTACCCAGACTTTACACTTGCTACAGAACACACCACACAATTAATTCTAACAGCATAATTAATTCAAATTTGCATTAATTAAATTAAATTAAAACATTAAACTTGTTTCTTAATCTACTCCAAAGAAGTTCGGCAATTTAATTGCCACGAAACAACTGAAATCAGGAGGATATTTAACATACTTATTAAATGCCACTTAGTATTTCTGTTTAGTATTTTTAGGGTCTAATTAGTGTCTAATTAACTTGCTATAGGCCATCTTTCCACAATACCAATTAAATTTCAAAACATCCTTTATAAACACACGGCCAGGAAAAGGAGAAGATTAAGCATTGTTACAGGCATGAGTTAATCAGGAGACATTGGCGTGGTATTGTTTTATATCTATAAATACCCACGCTTATTAAAACTCATCAAGTGTTGCTTTTCACCATTAATTGCAATTTAATCAACTTCAAATAAATGAGGAAATCTCTGAAACCAGCTGTCATTGTTGTAGACAGATGAAGGGCCCAGAAAACAGGCGTACGAGGTGAGAGAGCAGGTGGTAGACAAGGAGGAGGTGAAAGAGGGGGGCGGTTAGGCAACCAAAGGGTGTAGCGTGCAGAGGGGAGATTGGAGAAGAAGCGATGGGCTTCCAGATGGGATTTTCTGGCCAAATCCCAGCCTCCGGGTGATGTTTAAGATTAAAATCCCAACTTGGAAGGAGCGTAAGAAGGTAACAGTTACCCACAAACTAAGGTTCCCAGCTCTACAGGAAGGGACCCTCAGAGGTCTCCAAGGTGGCCCAGCCCGTACGGAGCAAGATGGAAGAGCTCAGGGCCTGGAATCCAAGCACCGGCTTCCCACAGCTGTGTGAGCCTCTCTGAGCCTCAGTTTCCTCACCTGTAAAACACCCCGCCGGTGTCACGGGCGTACCATCTGCACATCCGTCGCCCAAGGGCTCTGCACGTAGAAGGGCCCTGCACTTGGTGTAACGTTCTGCTGCTGTCATCTTGAAATTGTTAAGTTTTGAACAAGAGGGCCCTCCGTTTTCATTGCACACTGGCCCTGTAAAATGGTGTAGCCCAGTCCTGGTAAAATGCTTCCGCCGCGGGGCCACTGTGAGATCGAGTGGGGGACAGCTCAGGAACCCCCCAGCACAGGGCTTTCCATAGAGTCAGTGGCTCCAGAAGTGGGGCAGTGCGCCAAAGTGAACTCCAGTGGCCTGCGGGTCACTTGCACTGCCTGTCCCTTCCCTGGGAGGAGGCACCACAGGGACCTGAGCTCCTGGACACTGTCCACTGGCTGGCCCAGCCTGTGGGAGAGGGCTGGGCCTCTTCTGGAACCTTCTTGCTGCCCTGCCTGATTTGCTGGCCTCTCCCCAGCTGATTGCCTGGGAACCGGAGCAGGAAGAGGAGGTTACCATGGTGACCGCCAGGCCTAACTTTCAAGACAGCATCCACGTGGGCTTCGTGTCTGGCCTGAAGAAGTTCACGGAGTACTTCACCTCGGTGCTGTGCTTCACCACCCCCGGGGACGGGCCCCGCAGCGCCCCGCAGCTGGTGCGCACCCACGAGGATGGTAGGCACCTCCCACCCCACGCACCCCACCCCCCGCACCCCACCCCCCGCAGGCCGGGCTGGGCGCTCGGGCGGAAGGCCGTCCTGGGCTTGTCTCCCATGCTGGGCACCCCCCCGCACTGCGGGCTGCCTTGCAGATGGTGGTCCCTCTATGGCTCTAACTGGCATTGGGTGCGGTGGGGGGCCCTTTTCGGGGTACAGTGCCTGGGCCGGTGGGACACCTGAGCTTCAGTGAAATCCTGGACACCTCGCTGAAGGTCAGCTGGCAGGAGCCGGGAGAGAAGAACGGCATCCTCACAGGTAGGCGCCGCGGGTCTCTGGGCCGCAGGTGGCACAGGCTGGGAAGGTCCGCTAGCCTCTCCCCTGCCTTCCAGCTAGTTGTCATCCCGAAGTCCGCCCCCTCCCCCTGACACTGCTCGGGGGGGCTCTCGGCCCCTCCGCTCCTTAACATATCCCTGACCAGACCTAAGTGGCTGCCACGGTGACTTGCTCTCTCTCCTGCAGTCCCCACCGACGGCGGCGTCCCCTCCAGGCTACACCCAGGGCCCCGGCATGGAGCCAGCAGCTCCCACCTCCCTTGGCCCTGTCGCTCCCCGTGGGCTCTAACTTCCATCCCGGGGAAGACGCGGGGAGTGGGGCGGAGGTCGGGCCAACTCACGGTCGCGGCCAAGCTCACGCCACCACGGGGGCTCTCCCAGGCTACCGCATCTCCTGGGAGGAGTACAACCGAACCAACACCCGCGTGACGCACTACCTGCCCAACGTGACCCTGGAGTACCGCGTCACAGGCCTCACCGCGCTCACCACCTACACCATCGAGGTGGCCGCCATGACCTCCAAGGGCCAGGGCCAGGTGTCTGCCTCGACCATCTCGTCGGGGGTGCCCCCGGGTAAGCGCCCACCCTCAGGGCAGGGCTCGGCCTGTGCGGCTCTCCTGGGTGGCATCCCCTTCCAGACGCCCTCGTCTTTCGGGGACACGGGCTTTCTTCCTGCAGACCCTCCCCTCCCCTCGCGGTCGGTGGGTCGGGGACCTCACAGCGCAGGCTCAACTCGAATGATGCCGGGTCTCTGACTGGCGCCACCGGCTCGCTGCTGCTCCGTCCCACGGCGGCCCCCGGCAGCCCCGCCCTTGTGTCCGCTGCCCCACCAGCCCCCTCCACCCCGTCTCACACAGGCCCACGCCAGGCAGCGGGCTCTGTGATTCCCACTGTCACCCGGAAGGTCCAAATGGGATTCCTGCCTGCGGGGAGTCGGCTGGGAGGCAGCAGGGCGTGGTGGGAGTGATCTCAGGCCCCCCGTGACGGGCGAGCTGAGGTCTGGTCCCAGCTCTGCCACCCTGACCAAGCCACACATCTCCTCTGGGCCTCAGTCTCCCCCTTCTGTACGTAGGGGGAGTTAGACTAGATAACCACGTGGGCCCTCCTGCTCAGGAAGGCTATGCCTGTGTGACCTGCCCCGGGCATGGCTGGGGCTCCTGAGCTACGGTCGCCCCCAGGGCCAGTGACAGTGGGACTGACAAATATCTGTGTGGTGCTCACCGGCGTGGAGCTGAGAGCTGTACACACGACAGCCCTGAGGCAGGTGCTGTCATTATCATCTCCATCTTACGGAGCAGGATGCGGGGGCACAGAGAGGCATGGAGCTTGCCCAGAGACACACAGCCTCTAAGAGGCGGCGGTGGATCCACACTGAGACAGTCCGACTCAGGAATCAGTGTTCTTTCTGGGCATCCTGGGCCCCAAGAGCCTCGGGGTTCCCGGTTGGAAAACAGGAGCTGCCCCCTGTCCCCACCTGTCCTTCCACCCTCCCCCAGCCACTGCTGGGTGGAGGGGACGACTGGTCCCGGCGGGTCCTCACTGAGCCTGGCGTGGCTTTGCTCGGCTTCCGGCCCCCCCCCCATGAGCATTCCATTCACGTCGAACCTGCCAGGAGGAAGCCCCTGGGGTACCCGGCCCTGGTCCCTGGCCCTGGGGGACCCCCTCAGCCCTCAGATCGGTCTCAGCCTTCGGGCACGAACGAGATGTGCTGTGAGACACAGGGACAGAGACTTGGTGGGGTGAGGCCTTGGCTGCAGCTCTCCGGGGACATTTCCAGGACAAATGTTGGTGACGCACAGCCCCCTCCACGCTCCAAAGTCCGGTTCAGGGTGGAGGGACATTCTCACCCCATCTCCTTTCCCACCCTCCTCTCATTTTCCAGAACTCCCGGGGCCCCCCACCAACCTGGGCATCTCTAACATCGGTCCCCGCTCCGTGACCTTGCAGTTCAGGCCCGGCTACGACGGGAAAACCTCCATCTCCCGCTGGCTGGTGGAGGCCCAGGTACAGCCTGCTGCGGGGTGGCCTGGGGCCCGGGCGGCCCGTGCCGTTGAGCACGCAATCATATGTGTATTTCAGTCTGTGTGGATTTTCATGTGTAACTGTCGATGGCCAAGTGTACCCCAAATGCCTGTGCTTCCCAATATCGTCTCCACCCCCAGCTCACCTTTGCACGTGAAAACACACACATGCCGATCCCTGCCTGGTCCCAGGGGGTGACTGGCCGGCCTGGAAAATACCCAGTTGCTGCCGGCAGCCTTGTCGCCCCCTGGTTCTCAGCTTCAGCTGCACCCTGGCTCATCGGGGGAGCGTTCAAAAGTTCCAACACCTGCATGCCACCCCGCAGAAACCGGTCCTGATTTGCTGGTTTAAGGGGCAGCCTGGGTTTCAGAAGCACCCCAGGGCGTTTAGCAGAATCAGCTGGGAGCTTGTGAAAAGCACAGATTCCGGGGCACCAGGCCCAGGGGTTCCGAGGGGCTGGGTCCAGGGCAGGGCCTGGGAACGTGGTTATGACAAGGACTCCAGGGGGTCTCAGCGCCACGCTTGCAGGCGTGTTTAAGGGCCCGGAAGGATGGTGGCCCCATTCGGAGCCCTCCAGGGGAGCCCTGGGATTTGAACCAAGACCTTCCCTGGGCAGGGCTTGTACCTCCTAGGGGCCCCCCGGGGCTCAGAGCGCCCCCATCTCGGCCCCGGAGGCTGCACAGGCCTAAGGGTCCCTCCCTCCCCCAGGTGGGCGTGGTCGGGGAGGGAGAAGAGTGGCTGCTGGTTCACCAGCTCGCCAACGAGCCCGACGCCCGCTCCATGGAGGTGCCCGACCTCAACCCCTTCACCTACTACAGGTAACATGACGGAGCAGGGCAGGGGGCACCAGTCCCAGGGCCGGGAGGGCTGCCCACACGGGGACAGGGGTTGGCTCCGGGGCCCGGCCCTTACCATCTTCTCCTCCCTCCCCCCGCACCCCTGCTCCAGCTTCCGCATGCGCCAGGTGAACATCGTAGGCACCAGCCCGCCCAGCCAGCCTTCCAGAAAGATCCAGACCCTGCAGGCGCCTCCCGACATGGCGCCCGCCAACGTGTCTCTGCGCACGGCCAGTGAGACCAGCCTGTGGCTGCGCTGGATGGTGAGGCTTCCCCGAGGGCACGGGGGCAGGTGGGCGGGTCGTCTCCTCCACCCAATACCTGCAGTCCCTTTCTCTTTGCTCTACTTTTTTTTTTATTTTGGCATATTATGGGGGTACAGATTTTAAGGTTTCAATAAATGCCCTTTCCCCTCCTCCCCCCACAAGTCTGAGTCTCCAGCATGACCATCCCCCAGATGGTGCACATCTCACTCATTATGTATGTATATACCCGCCCCCTTCCCCCCTGCCCAATACCCTATTACTGTAGTACCTATGTGACCACTTAGGTGCTGCTCAGTTAATACCAGTTTGCTGGTGAGTATATGTGGTGCTTGTTTTTCCATTCTTGGGAAACTTCACTTAATAGTATGGGTTCCAGCTCTAACCAGGAAAATATAAGATGTGCTATATCACCGTAGTTTCTTAGAGCTGAATTGTACTCCATGGTATACATATACCACATTTTATTAATCCATTCTTGGATTGATGGGCACTTGGGCTGTTTCCACAGCCTTGCAATTATGAATTGTGCTGCTATAAACATTCGAGTGCAGGTGTCTTTTTTGTAGAGTGTCATTGGATCTTTTGGGTAGATGCCCAGCAATGGGATTGCTGGATCAAATGGTAGAATCACTTGTATCGCTTTAAGGTATCTCCATATTGCTTTCCACAGAGGTTGGACTAGTTTGCAGTCCCACCAGCAGTGTAGGAGTGTTCCTCTCTCTCCACATCCACGCCAGCATTTGTTATTTGGAGAATGCTCTACTTTTTTTTAAGACTTCTTTACTTAGCTGGCAAGGTGCCTGATTGATTTCAGTCTTAGCCAGATGAACAAATGCCCCACATGAGAGGAAAGAGCTAGAAAAAACTGTTTACTGAGCATTGCCAAATGCCAAGCACTTTAAATTTTTTTAGCCCATTTGATCCTCCCAGTAATCGAAGCACACGTTATTATCCCAATTTACAGCTAGGAAAACTGAGGCTCAGAGGGGTTAGGAACTTGATCATGGCCATACAGCTCCCGAGCAGTGGGTCTGGGACTCAGGTGCCAGGTGTGCCCCCCCACACTAGGTCAGAGAGTGTGCCACGGACCAGAGTAGTATGAGGAGGGTCATCCCCCCCCCGGTGGCCCTGCACGAGGTCATAGAATTAACATGCTGAGGCATGCTTCCTGCCAGCCGAGGCTCTGAGTGCTCTGCTCAAAGTGGGGCATTCAGTCCGCTCAACAAGCCTGTGACGGCAGCGTGCTCCTGGCCCCCGCTGTGCAGACGAGCAGACTGGGGCAGAGAGAGATCAGATAACTTGCCCAAGCCCCCCCACTCCCCGCATCCTCCCACACCCTTTAATGAACAGCAGGGCTGAGATCACAACCCAGGGAGTCTGTACCCCCAAATCCACAGCCCTAACCCTGAGCACACTGCCGTCTCACCCTCTGGGGAGCAGGAGAGTCCCCTGCTCGCCCAGGCCTCCCCCTGGGACCGTGTCTGAGCACAGGGCCCACAAAGCAGCAGCCCCAAGAGGTGCTTGGAGCAAGCAGGAATTCTTAAGGAAGTGTGGGGAACAGCACCGCATGCCGGGGCTCCTTAGAGAAGGAAGATCTCTTTCTGGTCGTGCAAAACACAACTTGCAAAATGCACTGCGCCGGGGCAGGTTCAGTGTGAGGCCACGTGCCTTCCGCCTATGCTGTGACAGCAGCTGGCGCTGTCAGCCCTCAACGCACATTAGCGATCAGTCCTGCGACCCCTTCCAGAGTGGCCGGCACCGGGCAGAGCTGTCCCGGCCCAGCCCGGCGGCCAAGAGCACGGTGGCGGGCAGCCACGCCCTGCATGGGCAGCCTCTGTGACCCTGCAGCCTCCTGTCCCCATCTCCCACCCAGGCTCCCCCTGCCACCCCGGGCTGGCTCCCTACGTCCCTCCCAAATCTCACCCTAAGGTGTCCAAACACTAAAAGGGTAAAGAGCCCAGCATGGAGGGCGGGGGCTGGGAGGGGAAGAGAAAGGCGGTCGCTGCACGGTGCAGGCCCCCGGGCACCTCTCAGGCCGCTAATGGCGCATGGTCCGTTACCTCTCCTTAGCAGGCGAGGGGGCGCGCGCATGGGCCCATCTCCATCCAGGCCCATCGATCGCCACCTTAATGGGCCTTGGTCGGCTTCACTAAGTGTCTGCAGCAGGGGCGGGCGGGCGGGCAGGAGGGGTGCATGGTGGGAAAGCAGGCAGGGGCGGAGGGGAGGGATGGGACACAGTGGTCAGCATGTGGTGAGCCTGCAGAGCCCCTGGGGGGCAGGATGGGGGAGGTGGGTGCTGGAGCTGCCCCGCTCTAGCCCTATGCCCTTCAGAGGAGAAGCAGAAGCCCCAGCCCTGGGCTCACACCTGCTCCCAGCCGTGGCTCCCCCTACATGCACACCCCTCCGCTGCCCCCCATCCCTGCCCACATGCATCCCAACAACCTTGAACGGGGTAAGCATAGCCCCCCAGCCTAGTCCTAAGGCCCAGGAACGAAGTCTGTCTTTTTGACGAGACTCAAATGAGCAGGAGGCTGAGAATGCAGCAGGAGAGACTGAGGCTTGCTGCACAGAAGGACTTCCCACCCACGCTTGCTCCCCCAAGTGCGGGCATGAGCCGAGACCAGCTGTCGTGGGCAGTTCGGTCCAGTGTGTGTTGGCAGCGTGAGTGACACAGCCGAGCAGTGGGGACAGCCAGGGCCGAAGGCGGCTGTGCTCACCAGTGTGTTGCGCAGACAGCCCGGGGGTCTCCTGGAAAGGCCTGCCTCCCTTGGCAGGGTGATGAGCTTGTCACACGCATGGCAGAGAATGGGCGCTGCTCGTCCACCCTCCCCAGGGAGGCGGGGGCCGTCGGGGACACAGCTGCACAGCCCGAGCCGCGCTCGGCAGCGGCACCTCACGTGACCCTGGCAGGCTGACGGTGGGCTGGGTAACCCTGAAGGCTCCCTGGAGGAGGGGGCGCCGGCCAGCGCCAGGGCAGTGGTTCCCTGCACGTGGGGTGGGGTCCTGGCCTCACGGCGGCCCTGCTGCCTCTGCTTGCCACAGCCCCTCCCGGAGATGGAGTACAACGGGAACCCCGAGTCGGTGGGCTACAAGATCAAGTACAGCCGGTCAGACGGCCACGGCAGGACGCTGAGCCACGTGGTCCAGGACCGCGTGGAGCGGGAGTACACCATCGAGGACCTGGAGGAGTGGACCGAGTACCGCGTCCAGGTCCAGGCCTTCAACGCCATCGGCAGCGGGCCCTGGAGCCAGACGGTGGTGGGCAGGACCCGGGAGTCAGGTACCGACGTCACCCCTGGCCACCCTGCCGACCGCGCTCCCTGTCTCTCTGCCCTCGCCGCCGTCCGGGCTGAAGCCGCTGTTCCAATGCGGCCTGAGTTCTTCTCCTCTGTGCTCGCCTCAGCCGAGCCACCCTCGGGGTCTGCCCCACTGTTCCTTCCCCAAGCCGGGTCTCGCCCATCCACACGGCCCACCTCCCTGACCTCGGCCTTAACCTTGGGACCCGGTGGTGCCTGGAAGAGCCGCGATGGAGGGTTGGGGAAATGGTTTGCCCTCAGAAGGTTCCAGAAACACAACCGGCAGCTCCTAGGGTCCTGGCCAGGGGTCACCGCAGAACGTGAGCGCAGCATGCGGGCAGCCCTCGTTCATGCACGTGTGGGGCCCCCCTGTAGCTCTTTCCTAGCACTTTATAAATGGCTTCCCTGGGCCGCGGCCCCCAGTGCTGCGCTGGCAGGAAGCGCAAGCTCATCCAGCGTTAGCCCGGGCAGGGCTGCAGGGGGAGGCACGTCTGAAACCAGAAACCGTGTCTGCGACGTTCCAAACCCAAAGACGGGGTCACAGGCCCCGGCCCCCTTCCCACCCTCCCTGCCACTGTAGGCTCTGTGTTGGCTCCTGAGTTCCTTCTCTGCCCTCCCTCTCCCCCCAGTCCCCTCCTCTGGCCCCACCAACGTGTCTGCACTGGCCACCACCTCCAGCAGCATGCTGGTGCGCTGGAGCGAGGTCCCCGAGGCCGACCGCAACGGGCTCGTGCTGGGCTACAAGGTGAGCCCTGCAGTCCCAGGAGGGGTGGGTGGGGGTGGGTGGGGGTGGGTGGGTCCCACCCGGCTTCCCCAGCCTCTCCACCCGGGGTGCTTGTCCTCGTCACCCTCTGGGTCTCTGCCTCCTGGACTGGGTGCCGGGGTCCGCCTGTCACCTCGGCACCCGGGGCGTCCTCCTCTGCTGGGGGGGGGGAGTCCGGCGAGGGCTCAGGGTCCTTGGGGCGGCTCCACCTCTCCCAGGAGGCCACACCTGTGCTCCCAGCCTCACCGGCAGCTCTGACGGACCCAGTTCCAGTCTCCGTTACCTTCTAGAATCCCTCTTAACGCGGCGCCTGGCTACAGGTGCAGCCCTGGCCTGGAAGTTGGCAGTCGTGGCTCCGCCACTTCTAGCCGTGTGAGCTTGCACGGTCACACCTCCCGTCTGGGCCCATCTCCCCTCCTGGATGCTCCTCTAAGGAGCCTCACAGCACGGTGGCTGAGTTCGTGTTTATGCCCCCAGCCCCCCGGGAACACTAGCTTCACCATTACCCCCTTCCCCTCGGGGCCAGGCCACCCCCAGGAGCCCAAGTCTGCCCACTCAGTCTGCTGAGACTCGGCAGAGGAGCTGGCGGGGAGACCCGGGCCCGAGGCCCTCACGCCGTGCTGGCCCCGCAGGTGATGTACAAGGAGAAGGACTCGGACGCCCGGCCCCGGTTCTGGCTGGTGGAAGGCAACTCGTCCCGCAGTGCGCAGCTCACGGGCCTGGGCAAGTACGTGCTCTACGAGGTGCAGGTGCTGGCCTTCACGCGCGTGGGGGACGGCAGCCCCAGCCACCCTCCCATCCTGGAGCGGACGCTGGACGACGGTGAGTGCGAATCCCGGCGAGCTCCGTGGCAGCTGCGGGGGTGGGGGGGCTGTCCTTCCTCCCGACCGCCGGTCACCCTCTGCCCCACAGGGAACCATGGCCTCGGGCCCCTGCCGTGGGGATGGCTCGCCCATGGGGACGCTAATTACAGCCCGTGTGTCCCCGCAGACAACCCCAGGGCAGTCTGACATCTGATTCGGTCTCTCGCTCTCCCTCCAGGACGAGTGTAGGGAACAGGGACTCTGCCCGTGTTAATTTCTCTCTCGCCTGGGGCAGGTTCACTTTGAGTAAAGGTCTGTGGAGGGGAAAGTCTTGATTCTTCCTGATCGCGAGCCTCCTGGTCCTGTTCGCAAAAGAGTGAGCCCAGCCGGGCTCTGGGCATCTGTCCCTGCAGCGGAAGTTCCCGTCAGAAGCTGATGTGTCCTTTGCCCCTTCCCTTCCCCCCGAGAGGTGCTGCCCACCCCGGACATTGGCAGGGTCCAAGCGAGAGTGCAGAGGGAAGCCCAGTGCCACATGTCTGTGGAGTCCAAAGTTACACATCGAGCCAGTGAACTGTTAAGTTAAATATGCTCTATCCCCCTGCCTTGACAAATATACCCTTATGACGACCTAAAAGGCCAAGTTCAAGTTTGGAAATCTCAGACATCTTGGCACTCTGTGCTGAAATGAGGTGACAAGGGAAGAGGTCCCCCCAAACACACCCTACTGCCCCCACCCCATGCTCTTCCACCCTTACCTCTGGCCCACACCATTCAGTCTCCACCCATGCCCCTCTAAAACAGCTACCCCTTGGCCATCGCTGGGCCCGGGGGGCGCACAGTCTGCCCTCAGGAGTGGACCCCAGCAGCAAGCGTGGGGCTGGGGATTCCAGGAGCCCGGGATCCCAGAGCGAGGTCCAGAGAGAGGACTGGTGCAGGCTCAGGGGTGCATGCCCCTTTGCCCCACGGCCACCTGGCCCCATGGGTGGCAGGATGTCAGAGCAGGACCTTCTACAGCACAGACCCAGGACGGGGCCATGGGCGTGGGTCTAAGGACGGCCCTGTTCTGGGCACCTGCAGGGACTCTGAGCCACAGGAAGCCGGGGGCTTGGCTCCCTGCCAATAACACCTATTCTGAGGCTAGAAACCTCATTCTACCTTCTCGCTCCTGCCAAACGACAGGTCTTTCAGAGTAGACACCTCATTGATTTCGTGTCCGCATCGCTGGCTCCTAACGCAGGAGTGCAGGCACAGAGCAGCTCTCTGCACACACTCGCTGAGCCGAGCGGCCCCTTCCCCTGCGCCCCGCCGGCTGCCCTGCTGGAGCCGGGCTCAGAGGGCCAGGCTGGGGGACAGCCTCACAGATCCACCTCTTCCCCTTTGCCGCCTCCAGTCCCGGGACCGCCCGTGGGCATCCTGTTCCCGGAGGTGAGGACCACGTCCGTGCGGCTGATCTGGCAGCCCCCCGCGGCCCCCAACGGCATCATCCTTGGTAAGCCTTCGCCCTCCCCGGGCCCTGGCTTCGGGGAGAAGAAGGAGTATAAGGTGTCCACACGCCCTCAAGGGTGGGATCTGAGGCTCATGTCTCTTGCTAGAAGTTTTAGTCTGCAAGATTACCTGCTGGAGGGCAAGGTCAGGGTTCAGGTCCCTTAAGGACCACTGGTTGTGCCACCAAAGGTCCCCAGGCCCCAGCTGACTGGCCACCTGGTAGACCTGAGCTACCATTTCTCAGTGTGGCCAAGTGAGGGCGCGCTGGCCAGCTCTGCATAGCCAGCCAGCTCTGCACAGCCGGCCACTGCTGGGAAGCAGGGCCCAAGGCACGGAGCAGAAGCTCATTTCACATTCAAGGGTTCCCTCCTGCCCTGCTCCCCCACCCCCTCCCCCAACCCCACCCCCATCACACATGCTCAGGGTTGAAGTCAGCAGCTGGGTGAACTTGAGCAAGCCTGCTGTCCTCTGCGGCCTCACCCTCTCTTTGAAAAGGTGGCTTGGACTGTCTGTGCCTGTCCCAGGGCCCCAGTCCTGACCCCATGCAATGCCTGCCCTAAACAGGTGCAGCCACACCCCAAAGACGGAGTAGGGGTGCGGGGGGCAGTGCCTTAGACCAGAACAACCTGGGCAAGAATTCCAGCTCAGTCACTTACCGGCAGGTGGTCTGGCCTCTCTGAACCTCAGTTTCCTCACTGAGGGCTGTTATGGGGGGGTCACAGACACTGTGTCCCCCATAGTCTACACTGCTCAGGTGGCAGCTCAGGACTGGAGAGTGACCAGGAGGCCTTCAGACAGACCACATCCAGGGAGGCCCACGTGCAGACGCTGCTGTGGCCGTGGCCGAGGGGAGAGTGGCCCTTTCTCGGGGTTCGGGGGTGCTGCCTTGCTTGCCAGCACGGCCGTGTCCTTCCTTGCCGCAGCTTACCAGATCACTCACCGGCTCAACACCACCACGGCCAACACCGCCACCGTGGAAGTGCTGGCACCCAGCGCCCGCCAGTACACAGCCACCGGGCTCAGGCCAGAGTCTGTCTACCTGTTCCGCATCACGGCCCAGACCCGGAAGGGCTGGGGCGAGGCTGCCGAGGCCTTGGTGGTGACCACGGAGAAGAGAGGTGACTGCCCACGGGGCGCTGGGGAGGCCTGGGGGACAGCCGCGGGCACACCCCCCGGCTAACCCAGGTGCTCGGAGCCTCTCCCGGGGGATGGCGGGGGGTCAGGCAGGTGTGGTCTGGAATGGAAAGTGGGCTCCCGTCTTCGAAGTCAAGGTCGGCGAGAGCCCTAGCGGGCTTCCAGAGCTGAGCTGGGAGCCGTCCTCCCCAGGAGCCTGCTCTGTGCTGTTTCCAGAGGGAAATTGGCGACCTGGTGACCAGCTTCCCCTCCCCCGTCACACCCCAGTCTTAGCGGGATGGCTGGAGGACCAGGCTGCCCTGAGCCAGCACCTTGCCCAAGGCTGGGTTCCCCAGAAGGGGGCCCGAGACCCCCACTGGTGCGAAAGTGACGTATCAGAAAACATTCTCAGGAAAACCCAGCAGGACAGTGGCTCTCGACCGGGGGCTACTTTTGGCTGTCACAGTTCGGAGGCTGCTACTGGCATTGAGTGGGTGGAGGCCAGGGACACTGCTGAGTGTCCTGCAGCGCCCAGGACAGCCCCCAGAAAGGGTCATCCATGCAAATGCCAGCAGTGCTGGGCTTGAGGAGCCCTGCAGGAGGGGACGGGGACGTGGGGTTGGGAGACGGGGAGGCCACGCGAGAGTGAGATGGACAGCGGAGTGCCACAGCGGGAAACGTGGGCTCCATCCGCTCCGTGGGGGCAGTGTAGGCCCCACCCCAGCCTTGTTGGGCAGGAGCGAAGGGGCGGGGCGTCAGACCCCTCACTGCCAGCCCGTGGTTAGGGGCTGCCCCAGGGAGACGCAGATTCCCAGGCAGTGGGGCTGGAGGAGCGTGAGGGTGGGTCTCTGACCGGGAGCCCCAGGTATAGGCTGTGCACAGGTGTGAGAACCTGCAAGGCCCCTGTGTGCATGGAAATGAGTGGGGACAGGGCGCCAGGCCAGAGCCCAGAGCACCCCCTTCCCTCCCCCGAGCAAGTCCAGCCCTCTTGCCCACCACCTGGCCCGGGCTCACCTGGTCCCCCCCTTCCACCGCCCTCCCCAGACCGCCCGCAGCCCCCCAGCAAGCCGGTGGTGCAGCAGGAGGACGTGAGAGCCCGCAGCGTGCTGCTGTCCTGGGAGCCGGGCAGCGACGGGCTGTCCCCGGTGCGCTACTACACCGTCCAGACCCGCGAGCTGCCCGGCGGCCGGTGGGCCCTGCACTCCGCCTCTGTGAGCCACAACACCTCCACCTTCATTGTGGAGAGGTGAGGCCTGGGGGCCCGCCAGCGTCTCCGAGCTGCCCCTCCTAGCTGGGACAAGCACCAGCGGTGGTCCCCCAGTTGGGGTGGGGGGGCGGTGGGCCCTCTGAGGACACCTCCAGCCCGCCCACCAACTCTGTTCCTCAGTCCGCGCCACCCGGGAGGCCTCCCGTCCACCCTCGCCCCTGCAGAGCCAGCTCCCTCCTGAGCCGCCGCTCCCGTCCCCCCAGAACCCTGGTAGGGAAGGTCGCCTCTTAGTCGGCTATTTCTGGAGCCCACAAGTCCCCTCCAGTGAAGTGCTTGTCATCCTTCATTAGCGATTCTTCCAGCCGGGCGGCATCTTCCTCCCCGGCGTTAATAGGGCCGTGCAGCCGCGCTCCGAAATCCTGGCTTCAATTTCCCTCCCAGTGGGTTGTGGGTTTCATGTGCTCGCGATGTGACCGGGAGTTTTGAGCAATACTTTCCTCCCCACCTCCCCGACCCCCAGTAAATCCGAAAGAAAGACGATTGCTTGGAGGGGAAGTGCTGGTTAACTCTTGACAGCCTCCACCCCTCGCAGGCTTGCTAAGTTTCAGAGAGAGATGGCAGTTGGGGGGCAGGCAGGGACGGGGGGTTGTTCAGACAGGGAGGTGCTGGTGCTTTCGTGGCTGCGTCATCCTCTGAGGTAGGAAATATGGAGACATTTCTTCTTGGGGACCAATGGCTTAAAACTGGGCTGAAGGCACCCCAAGCTGGCATGGTCTGGGGGCCCTGGCCTGGGTGCTCAGGGGTCCTGGTTTGTCCCCTTTGTAGCAGAGCTCCTTTCTCAGCCTCGATGGTCCCTTCTGTGTACTGGGTCTGCACACCTGGCCCCTTTCCCAGGCGGGGAGAGCTCAGTGAGACCCCTGGTGCAGGCGTGGGCAGGTCTTCAGGGCACCCCCCGGGTTCACGGGACCCGATTCCTCCACAGGCTCAAGCCCTTCACGTCCTACAAGTTCCGAGTGAAGGCAACGAACGACATTGGGGACAGCGAGTTCAGCGAGGAGTCGGAGTCGCTGACCACCCTGCAGGCCGGTCAGTGCCCCCTTCCCCGTGGGTGGCTTTCCCTTGGCCCACTGGCTACTTCCTGGGCACTGGCCTCCAAAGACGGGGAGCACCAGACCCCTCAGTCCCCGGGGCAGGGACCCAAGGAGGTTTGGGCCAGAGGGGCCTTTGCCGGGGGCTCAGGGTCCCCGACCCTGCCTGGCTTTCTAGTGCATTCTTTCTCTGATGCCCCAGAAAGCCCCCAGTGAACGGGGCCTGTGGCTCTGCGGGGCAGAGCAGAGGGACCTCTGGGACTCCTGGGTCCGTCTGGGGTCAGGTCATAGCACCTCTCTCCCTCCCCGCTGGCCCGTTGTTCTGCAGAAGTTGGGCTGGTGGGCACAGAGGGTGGCCTGACCTTGACCTGCCCCGCAGTCTGGGATCAGCAGCCTCTGTCCCCATGGGCTCCTGGGGACCTGAATCTGTGGCCCCCGAGCCCACATATCTGCCTCTCTCCGCAGCCCCGGACGAAGCCCCCACCATCCTCTCGGTGACCCCCCACACCACCACTTCCGTGCTCATCCGATGGCAGGTACGGCCCGGTCGGCAGGGGTCACACGAGGACTCGGCTAAGCTCCGCACTGGGACGGGAAAGCCACAGTCCCCACCAGGGCTTGCTGGGGTTTTCACGGTTTTCGCCCTCCCAGAGCACCTGGGGAGGCATGAGAAACCCAGGGGTGTGCGTGTCACAGAACATTCTATACACACACGTGCATATATGGACACTCACATACACCGCATGCCAAGGCCACAGCTGGAGAGCGGCAGGGCCAGGCTTATCAGACTTAGGTCTTCCCAACCCTGGGACAAAATAGTGCTTGGGGCTCTCAGGGCCCCCAGAATCTCCATGAAACCCAGACCGGGTGGCCGGCGATGGGATTCTTAAAAGAGACGTGGGGAGGCGCCCACAGCAGCCGGGGAAGTAATTAAGGAGCTCATAAAAGGCTCAACCGTTTCAGTAGGTTTTTAAAAAGAGACAGCATGAAAGGTAGTTCCCGCCTTCTCCCGAAGCTTTTCTCCGGCTAAGCTGGGAGTGGAAGCTAAAGAGAAAGTGAGGGGTGCACTCGCCCCTGTGTCTGCTCAAGAGTGGGGAGGAAACGCCGGCCAGGTGGCCCAGCAGGGACCGCCAGGCAGAGGAGGCTGGTGATCAGGGGCGGGAGCTCCGGACGAGGAAAGGCTCCATGAAACGCTGTGTGTCCAGCACCGTGCCCAGGCCCCAACAATGCTGTGTGACCTTGGGCAAGTTCCTTAACATCTCTGAGCCTCGGTCTCTTGCTCTGTTGGAGGGCAACTGGGTGATTCCTGCCCTCCCCTGCCTCACGGGAACGTTGCAGTGGCTAATGACCTCACTGGAAATGCTTTGCAAGTTAAAAATACTCCACATTATCTTGACTTCTTCTCCTGGTCGAGACACAGTTCCTGCTCTGTTGCTGCAGGGGTCATGATGGGGAGGACGGCGGGGCGGGGTGAGCCGTGCTCCGGGTCCCCTCCCCATTCCCTCCTCCCTTCCCTGCAGCCGCCAGCTGAAGACAAGATCAACGGCATCCTCCTGGGCTTCCGGATCCGGTACCGGGAGCTGCTCTACGAAGGACTCAGGGGCTTCACACTCCGAGGCATCAACAACCCCGGGGCCACTTGGGCTGAGCTTACCTGTGAGTGACACCTGAGGGAGTCAGGGGAGGGGCACACCCACCTTCCTGCTCTGAAGCTCTCAGCTTCCTGGGATCTCTCTAACCTGGAGCCCTGTGCGTGCATGTGCCTGTACCCTGTCCCATTCGTGCACTTACTGAGTATTTACTGAGCACCTTCTGTGTGCCCCGAGACACTGTGGGGACACCGATGACCGACACGACAGGGTCCCTGCCCTCTCAGAGCTTGCAGGCTAGAGGAGGAGCCAGGCCCTCCAGAAGTAACCCTGAGTAGACGTCTAAGGCCCGTTGGCCGGCCTGGGGGAGTATTCCTGGAAAGCCAAAAGCCAGGGCCGGAAGAGGCTTCCCTGGCATCGGCTCGGGCGCCAGGCTGAAGGATGATGCTGAGTTAACCAGGCAGGAGGGACAGGGACAGCCCAGCATGTGGGAAGGAGCACGCTGCTTTTGAAGAACTAAAAGCCTCCCCTGGACACCCCCTCCAGAGAAGCAGTCCCGGCACCCCTTGTTCCTTGGGGGAGTCACACCCTGCCTGGGGTCCTGGGAGTCCAGCCTGCCTCCCCGTAGCAGGAAGGACAGCGAGCAAGGAGCCAGGTGGCAATCCCAGGAAGAGAGGATGCCTGGGGAGAGCCATAGCGTGGGAATGGCGTGGCTGGACTCTTGCATATGAGGCGGGTCCCTTTGGTGGCCTGAGGGTGGTGGCCTGGCCAGGCAGGCCAGCTGGAGGCTGTCGCAGAACCAAGGTGGCAGCAGGGTCGGACGCAATTGGGAGATGGTGTGTCATGCGCGTGGACCCCCCAGCGGGCTCCACATGACTGACTCATGGAGGGCGGGAGCTGCGGGGAGAGGGAGGCGGGCGGGGGGCGGGGGGCACTCACCAGAGATGGGGGAGCAGTCTGGGAGCCTCTCCATTGTGACATTCCCTCCTGTGGTTCTCTCCACACGCGTGCCTTGTCTGCTAGCGACTTAGCGGACGACACAATGATTGAGTGGATAGCAAAGCAACATTAATAGAAAAACTCGGAAGTAGCTGATCCAACAGCTTGCGTTTTTGGCGGTGGTTTTTGTTTTTCCTTTTTTGCCGACATGCGCCGTGGTTGTGACTCTGTGTTGCCCGTGTGAGATGCAGTTGTATTTCCTGGTAGTAAAATGTTTTCTGGTTCATATGAAGGAATTAACGGCGCCAGTATTTCATGCTGGTTTCCAAGAGCTCTGCCTTGAAACAAGGGAGTGAGTTGGGGCTTGAGGGTTCCCCTGGAGCTGTCCCCAGGATGGCAGGCTCCCAGGGGCTTGGGACACCCTGTGACCTTGGGCTGGTGCACAGCGGTGTGGGGACAGCACTGTCCTGGGAGCCGCCTCCTCCCCCCACTCCCATCCTGGCCCCTAACTCAGCCTCAGGAACCTGGAAACTCTCTCTCTATGTGCCCACTCACCTGGCCAGCCCCTACCTCTCTGCCATCTGCCCCCCTAGCCGGGGTCTCTCTGCGGGGTGGGGGACGCGAGTGCACTAACCTCCTCTGTCTGCTGTCTCCCTCCGGCCCCCGCCCCCGCCCGTAGCCACGTACTCCGTGCGGAACCTGAGCCGGCCCGGCCTCACGCAGTACGAGCTGGACAGTAAGTCTTGCATGGCAGCTCCCGCCTCGGGCCCAGGCCTGGCACGGGGACCGGGAATGGGGCCTCGAGGACGCCTGACCACAGGCCGAGGGGGCGTGCCCACCCCAGGGTGCTTAAAGAATGGGACCACCCTAACACACATGATCGCTCCAAATACACGAGGACGTAGGCTGTTGCCGGGGAAGGGCCCACGAGGACGTAGGCTGTTGCCGGGGAAGGACCCCCAGGCTCGGCCTCTGTGGGATTCGAGATGGGAAGGAAAGTCTGTAGCCTGGTGCTCCGGTGGGGAGGGGGTGGGGAGATGGGCCATGACAGCAGGTCCGCAGCAGCGGGAGCCACGGGACATGGCTGGGCAGGTGGGCAGCGTCCGAGTCACGTCCAGGGCACTTGTTGGGTCTTGCGGTCTGGGTCTTGCAGTTCTGTCCACCAGCCCCTGTCTTTCCTCCGGGGCTCAGGCTATGGGTTGCAGGCTCCTGCCTCGACCTTCTCCTAAAGCCCCAGCCATGGTTCTTCCCAGGGCGCAGGGCCTCGTGCTCAGGAGAAAATAACACGAGTGTGAGGCCCTTCCTCAGCCAGTGGCCCACGTGAGCTGCCCCGCAGTTGGCAAGGCTGGCTCCCCACCCCCCACCCCCAACACACACACAGCCCAGTCGCAGGGGAGAGAGGGGAGAGCCCCGCCCTGGGGGAAGGGAGCATGGGGCGGAGCCCAGAGGAGAGAGTGGAGGGGGTGGGGCGACCTTTCACCCCCCCCCAGCAGGGACAGCAGCTCCACCGGGTGACTGAGCCCCTTTCCCTGCAGCTGCGCTCCTGTCCCAGCTTCCACCAGGCATCCCCACCCAAGCACCCCGAACTTGGCAAAAATAGGGGGTTTCTCAGCCCAGAATTCACATCCAATAAGCGCCTCCCCCCAGGCCCAGCCTCCCTGTGTAAACAGCTGGTGGGCAGGCCCGGGGCCCTGGAGCTGGGCACTGTGGGCCTTTGTCCTGGGGAGGAAAGAGGACGGGCGGGGAGGGCGTGGCCCTACGGCCCGGCGTGCCCAGGACAGCTGTGGTTTGCACCGGTCGTCCCCTGTGAACACTCACAGCCTCCAGAGTGTCCGGTTGAGCAACGGAACGTACGGCCAGCATTGTCCTCGTGCGGGGTGGCACGGAGGGGGACAGAGCTCCCGGAGCCCCGCCTCTTACCTGCTCCTTCCTGAAGCCTCGCACAGGGGACTGGAGCTGCAGGGACGCCTCCTCCCTCCCCTACAGCCTCTGCCCGCCGTGGGGGCCCCTTCCCGGCAGGGACAGTGACCTCAGCGTGTGCCCCTTCCCCGCTGTCACCCACAGACCTGAACAAGCACAGGCGGTACGAGATCCGGATGAGCGTGTACAACGCCGTGGGCGAGGGCCCCTCCAGCCCCCCGCAAGAGGTCTTCGTCGGGGAGGCAGGTGAGTGCCACCTGCCCTGTGCGGGCCCTAGCATGTCTTCCCCACCCCGACCCAGACCAGCCAGAGGAGCTGGGGACCTGGGGTACCCCACCCCACCCCCCCCTCCCCCAGTCAACTCCCTGGCACACTCACCCCCACCTGCACACCCTCCAGTGCCCACGGCAGCGCCCCGCAACGTGGCCGTCCACGGCACCACAGCCACGCAGCTGGATGTGACGTGGGAGCCACCCCCACTGGACAGCCAGAATGGAGACATCCAGGGGTACAAGGTAGGGGTGCTCTGGCAGAGCGAAGGGGTGCATGGGGCAGGGGGCCAGCTAGGGCTTGATGAGCCACCCACGGGTGGAAGGTGGGTCCCCAGTCCCTCCCTCCTCCCAGTCCAGGTGTGCGCCCCTTCAGGCTCTGCTGCACACCTGCCTCCTGGGCTGTTCGCACCCGATTTGCGGAAATATTGTACAACTGGGGCAAAACTACACCCACCCCCTCCGGCATCCTAAAGGCAGGCTGAGTGCAGGAATCTCCAGCCACCCCTGCTGAGGCCACACAGAGAGCAGGTAGCAGAGAATCTGCCGGCTCTCCCCCCACGAGGGGTGCAGAGGAAGCCCTGGCCACACAGGCGCTAGAGGTACTGCTTTCAAAAAGGAACGTGTCTCCTCCTTGGTGGAGCGGTTGGAACGGGTAGCCCTCGGCTGCATCTGTGGTTGCCTCCCGCACAGGTGCCCAGTGGGCTGGAACTCGTGGTGGCTGGGTGCTGTTCCAGAGAACAGTCCCAGTGCCATGGCCCAAGGTGGGGAGTGAGAGCCACAAGGGACCTCATGGTGTACCTGGCCCAGCCCCGCCTCCCGCAGGTGGAAACTGAGTCTTAGCCAAAGTGAAGAGCTTGCTGAGGTCACCCAGCTTAATAACGCAGGTGGCCCCGATTTAAGACAGAATCCAGCATGGGAGTGGCTTTCCATCTGGGGTGAGGGAGGAGGGGGAAGGAGGAAGGGCGTCTTGCCAGGGAAGCTCCAAAGACGGATGACACCCCTCACGTCTTTGCCCAGGAGCACCAGCTGGGAAGACTAAATATTGCACCCCTAGCATATGCCTCCCGTGGAAGGAAGGGGCTGGGTGGAGCCAGCAGCAGTTTGGCAGCCACCCGGCTGTCGAGGTTCGGAAGTTGCGAGCTAACATACAGACCCAGGAAGTGCACAGGCGCGAAACACCGTACGTAATAATAGGGCAGGTGTCCGCGTGTTCCAGAGAGCATTGCCCCCACCTGAGCAGCGGCTGTGGCCCTGAACCGAGCAAACAGGGAAGTGCCTCCTCCCAGACACGCGCTACCCCACGTGTTAACGTCAACATGCGTGAACACGGGTGATGCATTAACACCATCGACCCATGAGCGCAGCTAAGACCATCAGACCAACCACCACCTGCGCACGTTCACGCACATTCCTAGCGTTGAGGTCTTTCTGTCGTTCACAGACACACCTTTATTGAGCAGTTATTTTGTGCCCAGCGTTCTTCTTGGGCTGGGAGTAAAGCAGTGAGCAAAGGATGACACGAGCTTAAATCTTAGGGGGAAAAGACCGACAATGTAGGAAATAAATAACACCACCAGATGGTGGTAACTGAAGCCAGTTAGGGGAAAGCTAGAGGTAGGGGCGGTGGGGGGTAGGTTTAGAATTTTAAATAGGGTTGCTGTTGGGAAGACTTCCATTTCCCAGTGCAGGGTCCTGGGCTGGGATTGAGGGCAGGGGAGTGGGGAGAGGAATCTGGGAAACAGTAATACAGGGGTGTGCAGCCGTGGGCTGGGGCAGTGTAGCCCGTGGCCAGCCCACTCGAGGGTTTGCTCGTGAACTCAAAGCATGACTCCCTCCAGCCCTGTAGCGTGTGGGTGGATCTCACCGGGGCTGGGTTTGGCCAGTTGTGTAAGAAGCAGCAAGAAAGGACAGGAGCCCAGCAAAGAGCACACTCAACAGTGAAGAGAAGACCTGCAAAGCAGGATAAAATATTTGCAAACCACACGTCTGATAAGGGGTTAATAGCGCAAATGTTTGAGGAACTTATACAACTCAATGGGAGGAAAACTGATTAAAACGTGGGGCAAAGGAACTGAATCGACATTTCTCAAAAGAAGGCATACACATGGCCAACAGGTATATAAGGCGCTCGGCATCGCTAAATGTCAGGGAAATACAAATTGAAACCGCAGTGAGATATCACCTCACACCTGTTAGGATGGCTACCACCAAAAAGTCAAGAGATACATGCTGGCGAAGGTATGGAGGAGAAGAAACGTTTGCACAGCATTGGTGGGAATGTAAATTGGTGCAGCCATAATGGAAAACAGTATGGGGGCTCCTCCGAAAATTAAAAATAGAACTACCATATGATCCAGCAATCCCACTATTGGGTATTTATCCAAAAGAATTGAAATCGGGATCTTGAGGAGATACCTGCACGCCCATGTTAATTTCAGCATTATTCACAACAGCCAAGATGTGGAAACAACCTAAATGTCTGTCCACAGGTGAGTGGATGAAGAAGATGTGGAGTGTATATACACGATGGAATATTACCCAGGCTTGAAGGAACTTCCGCTGTTTGCAAGAACACGGATGAACCTGAAGGACATTGTGCTAATGAATAAGACAGGCACAAAAAGACAAATACTGCACGATCTCATCTATAGGTGGAATCTAAAATGATCCAACTCAGAGACACAGAAAGTAGAACGGTGGTGGCTGGGGCTGGGGCTGGGGGGTCGGGGAGATGTTGGTCAAAGGGTACAAAGCCTCAGGCGAGATGCATTAAGTTCGGGGATCCGACGTACAGCACGACCATGACAGTTAATGATATTACATGCACTTGAAATTTGCAAAGAAAGTGGATCTTAAGTGTTCTCGCCACAAAGAAAAAAAAAAGGTAACTGTTCGAGGTGATGGATATGTTACTTAGCTTAATTACAGTCGTCTTTTCACGACCTATACGTAGATCAAAACATCACGTCTTATACCTTAAATATGTACAATTGTGTTTGTCGATTTTGCCTCAGTAGCACTGGAAGAAAGAAAAGAAAGGGCAGGGGTTGAGGAGAGTCGATGGAAGGTGTGATTACAGCGGTGCACTCCTCTGCCCGCCCCCCTCCCCACATGCGTCCACCCAGCAGGTATTTGCTGGACGCCAGTGATGTGATTGCCAGGCGGGACTCTGAGTGCCTGGCCACAAAGAAGCCAGACGGACCAAGACCCTGCCCTGCGGCGCGTGCATTCTGCAGACACCCGGATGCCCGTCTGTGTGCTCCAACTCGGCAGTGCGCCCCTTGGGGACCGGGGCCCGGCTCGGCTCCTGTGTGCCCTCTGCACAAGTGTCAGTCCCTCTTCCTGTCGGCCATCACCTAACAAGGGTCTGCTGACTTCAGTGCACACACACGAGGCGCACCTGCTGAGCGCACCGGGGTTCTGTATTTGTGCCGCCCTGGGTCCTGGACCCCAACCCACTGCCCTGCTCCGGCCCCTGCCGCCTCTCTCTGCAGGGGATGTCTCCCAACAGGCGCAGGGCAGGCACGAAAGCCTTCCAGAGCGCGTTTCCTCTTTCAACGCCTTTCCCCGACCGCATCTTTGCCTGGTCCCTTTGCAATAGAATTCCTCAAAAGAGCCTTCTGCACTCCCACCTGCAACTCCCCTCCCCCGGAGTGTCTGAACCACTCCAGGTAGGTTCTCCGCCCCGTGGCCCCACCAGAGCACCTCCTGCCAAGGCCACCAGCCACTCCGTGCCGCCTCCTCGGCTCAAACCTCAGGCCTCACTGACTGTGGGCCGAGCGGTGGTGTTCGACAGGGCGGATCCCGCCCTCCTCTCAAAATGCTTCCTTTTCTCGGTTTCCCTTGCCGTCGGCCCCTCCTCTGCTGTGCCGACTCCCACCCCAACCGCTGAACGCCGGGGGCCCCTAGGAATCAATTCCAGACCCTCTTCCCTAGGAGAACCCATGAATCCTCTTGGTGTGCAGTGGCCAAATACCACCTGTGCGCCAATAACACCCAGATTGTTAGTGTTAGCCATGGACAAATGAGTGAATGAATGAGTGATTTAATGAATGACTACAGCTGGCACCCGTATGAGGAGAATCTTTTTTTTTTTTCTTTTTTGAGACAGAGTCTCACTCTATTGCCCTGGCTAGAGTGCTGTGGCATCAGCCTAGCTCACAGCAACCTCAATCTCCTGGGCTCAAGCAATCCTTCTGCCTCAGCCTCCCAAGTAGCTGGGACTACAGGCATGCGCCACTGTGCCCTGCTAATCATTTTTTCTAGATATTTTTAGTTGGCCAATTGATTTCTTTCTATTTTTAGTAGAGACGGGGGCCGGGGGCGGGGGGTCTCACTCTTGCTCAGGCTGGTCTCGAACTCCTGACCTTGAGCGATCTGCCCGCCTCGGCCTCCCAGAGTGCTGGGATTACAGGCGTGAGCCACCGCGCCCGGCCAAGAATCATTTTTTAATAGGGGGAAAGGAGCTGGAGAAAGGGATTTCATGGTAACAAGATGTCCTAACTGCCACTCACAGGTGCCAGGGGTGGGGTTGAGGGGAGAGAGTCGTGGGGTGGGGGACAAGGAACAATTTTATTATCACCTTCTCACTCCAGGAAACTGAGAAATTGAAAATCTGGCCGTGTGCAAAAGCCTTATCAGCCAGCAGGTGGTGCCAAATGACCTGCAATTCTCCACGGGGCTTGGGACCGGCTTGCGACTTCTGGGTGGGCTGGGTCCTAGAAACTAGTTTAAGAATCTTCCATGCCTTGCGGACTAGGGGTGCCCTCCACCACCCCCTCGCTAAACATGCAATAATTGAAAGCGCTATTGAGCCTCTGCTGTGTTCCTGGCCTAAAACCTTCCAACTGGCCCCCCACCTGGGAGAAAATCTTTTCACCTGTGGCCCTCGTGCTGGGCCCAGGAAGGGAGTGGCTGGGGAAGTCACCTGGCCAAGGCATACTGCTAGCCTGGGCCCTCCTCTGCAGCCAACGTGCAATTGCAATGTGCAGGCACAGCCCCGCTGGGGTGATTTGCAGCTGCAGATGGAGCAGGCCCGGGGTGCATACCCCCCCCTCCCCCCGGCTCCCAGGAGATGCGACACTGCCACCCTCACACCCACTCGGCCGGGGTGGGCTCTGCACTGCATTTAGCTCCCCAGCTCAGGTGCCTGCGGGACGTATTTGGCTTATTCCTCCAGGATCTATTTTCCCAGTGCCGATGTCCCAGAGACAGGCCCTGCCACGAACCACGCTGCACGGGCTGTGCCCTCACATTGACAGTCTAGCAGAGACTAAGGTCTTGGCTATGGAAAGAAAGGTTCTGGAAGGGTTTTCTAAAAGCGCTCTTTAAGGCTTCTATACTGTTTCCCAGGAGCCACCTGGGAAAGGTCACAAGGAAGGTGTCTCTGAGCCCCTGGGGCGGTGCAGCAGGAGGGAAGCCGAGGTCTCTGTCGCCCCACTCCCACCGCCCTCTGCGCCCACAGATCTATTTCTGGGAAGCCCAGCGGCGGAACCTCACGGAGCGGGTGAAGACGCTTTTCCTGGCGGAGAACAGCGTGAAGCTCAAGAACCTGACGGGCTACACCGCCTACATGGTCAGCGTGGCGGCCTTCAACGCCGCCGGGGACGGGCCTCGGAGCGTCCCCACCCGGGGCCAGACCCAGCAAGCAGGTGGGGCAGGGGCCCTGGGGAGGGGGAGGTCTGCCTGGCAGGGTGGTGGTGGCGGGGAGGTGGACCCGCCTGCCTTTGCCCCCCGAGACACCCTGGGGGGGGGACGTGCTCAGGCTTTGAGCGAGCCCCCAGGCAGCCCACCTTGCAGACAAGCAGCCAGGCCCCCTTTCTCCCCCAGCCAGCCCACCTGGGCCCCGGCCCTGCTTCCACCTGCGTTTTTCTATCTCCCTGGCTTCGTTCACTCCACAAGTATTTATCGAGTGTCTTTTCTGAGGCCCCACTGTGTGGGGCACTACTTGTTTGCTCCAGGGGGTCTCAGTCCAAGAAAACATTTCTTCCGGAGGGTTCTACTGTCCTTGGCTTTGGCTCCTCCTGACAGTGAGCGAGGCCACCAAGCAAGCTCCCTGCCCCGGCAGGGGACGGATCACCAACAAGCAGATGGGATGCCTGCAGATGGTGGCCAGGACAGGGGGTCCAGGGTGGGGGAAGGGGGTCCATGGGGGGGCTTCGGGTGCGTTTGCCCACAGCGGCCTCGCTGAGGGTGGGATTTGAGGGAGGAGAAGAGGCCGGCGTGGGGCGTTCGGGAGGAGGGGGCGGGGAGGTAAGGCGGGGTTCTGGACAGAGGAGACAGCAGATGTGGAGTCTCGGAGGCTGGGGGAGGCGGGGGATTAAGGGACCAGAGAGAAAGGCAGGTGGCTTGCAAGAAGACGGGGCAAGAGCAGGTCACAGAGGGCCTGGGGGAGGGGATTGGGATTCGTTCATTCTAAGTGCCACGAGAGGCCACTGGAAGGTTTGAGCATTTGGGCAACAGGATCTGGTTCCTGCCTGAGAAACTCGCTCTGGCTGCTGTACAGAAGGCAGCCTGGTTGGGGCCGGGGCTGGAGCAGGGCGGCCAGGCGGGAGCGGACGGCGGTGAGAATCCTGCGCCCACGTGTGCGGAGCGAGCCGGTAGCCAGCGTCCAGAGCTCCTTGTCAGGCAGCATCACGTGTGACTCTCCCAGAAGCCCTGGGGGCGGGCGGGGTGGCCAGCACCCCCTTTCCACAATGAGCAAGGGGTCCCCCAGGAAGTCAAGCTTCTTTCCCGGGGTCACCCAGCTGCTCAGCAGGGGAACAGAGGCTGGAGCCCAGGATCACCGAGAGAACCAAGGGTTGTGTCCCCGTGGACTGGATGCCAGCCTTTTGTCCCGGCCCCCCTTGGACGTCTTGTCCAGCCTGCCACTTTCTATGCTGTCCGTGACGTTTGTCCCTTAAAGAGCTGCAAAGGGCATACTCGTGGAGTCGGTTCCTATTGTGGCCCTCTGTTTGGACGAGCCCTGGCTCCGGGGACAGCCTTTCCCTCTGCTGTCCAGGCCGAGTGTGAGCACTGATGGGCACGTCTGCCTGCCTGCCTGTCCCCACTCTCTGACGGTGTCATCGGCCAGATGGGAGCCCCTGGGGAGCCCGAAGCTTGTGTTGCTGTAGCAGCAGGACAGAGTGTTCTGTCCCATGTCCCTCTAGCCCAGGGGAGGCAGGAAAGGCCCCCTGAGCTCTCCTCCCCTCTTCAAAGACGCTGGCTGGCTCTGCCTCCTGCAGCCGGAGCCGGAAGCAGGTCCGGAGTAGCTCCGGCCTGGTGGGAGGCGGCACAGGACAATAATAGCCTGGTCACCCACCCAGGCCGGCGAGGGATGCCTCGGAGTGTGGTGCTTCCTGCCCTTCCTCCGGCCCTCCCCCTTGCAGGGGTCCCCCACCCCCTTGTTTGCTCCAGGGGGTCTCAGTCCAAGAAAACATTTCTTCCGGAGGGTTCTACTGTCCTTGGCTCTGGCTCCTCCTGACAGCGTGGTGTCTCCTCGACAAGCCCTGGCGCCGGGGCCCAGAGAAAGGCCGCGTCTGCGCGCTGCAGCTCTGGCGCGGTCTTGTTTAGTGCCCAGCTAGTGTCCGAGGCCCAGACCCCCACTATGTTCACTTCCAGGGAAGTCGAAAGAGGAGCCCTGCAGAGCCAGGAAACAGCCTTGCCCCAGGGCGACCCTGGGGCTTGACGGCTCATCCCGAGGCTCAGTGCCACTTAGCAGGGGGGAGCCTGAATTCCACGACTTTAGGGAAAAATAAAGTCTCCTTTCTTCCCGGTTCTTGGGACTCTGACACTGGAAAGTTGAGAGAGGAGGAGAGGGGGGACCCGGTGACCCCCGGTGACCTCTCCAGTGTCCCCCGGTGCTAAGCCCTGCTCTCTTGTTCTTCCTACCCGACACTCCTGCTTGTTCCTTGGGGCCAAGCCCAAGGCGCCGAGCTTCCAGGAGCAGGAAACAAAGCCCTTTGCTGTCTGTCTCCCACAGCCCCCAGCGCCCCCGGCTCGGTCAAGTTCAGCGAGCTGACCACAACCTCCGTGAACGTGTCCTGGGAAGCCCCACAGTTCCCCAACGGCGTGCTGGAGGGCTACCGGCTGGTGTACGAGCCCTGCACGCCCGTGGACGGTGAGTGGGCCCTCCCCCGAGGCCCCCCAGACCCTCAGTTCTCAAGGGCCCTCTCTCATCCGGGGTCCCCGTCACAGCCAGTGCACACGGGTTAGATGTGGTGATAGTCTCCCCGTCTTATGAAGGGGGAAGCTGAGGCCCGGACAAGGGAAGGGGAGTTTCCAAGGCGGAACAGCAAGTTGAGGGCAAGGTTGGCCAACAGCAGCCCAGGCTCCTAACTTCTAGGCAGAGAACTTTTAAATATATCCTTCCCCTTCGGTCAGTGAAGACGGGGAAGAGAGGAAGGGAAAGTGGAGCCAGGTACGGTGTCCCATGACGGACAGGGCTGTGGGGCCCAGGAAGCAGAGGGAGCCCCTGAGGTCCCGCCCCCTCCTCGCCCTTTCCCAAACCTTAGGGTTCTCAGCCTTACTCTGGGTTAGTCCTTCTCCATCTTTGGTGGGGGGGGTTCAGGAACCCCTTTGAGAATCAGATCAAAGCCTTGGAGCCTCTCCCCAGGAAGATGCACAAGATTGGGGGGGTCACTGCACCCCTGTTGCCATCTGCAGACCTGGGGTCTAGAGCCCTGCTCCGCAGGTGACCTTCCCTGTGTCCTGAACCCTGTTCATCCAAGCTGTCATCAGCCCCTCCCTCGCAGCCCCCCACCCCTTCCTCCGGGCCCCAGCAGGGACCCTGCCCCCCTTGGGGCTCCCAGGCTGAGCCCTGCTGCCCCTGCCAGTGGGCGTCAGACACTTGCTAGCTGCCTACCCCCGAGGGCTGCCCAGCATCGGTGTGAGCGTGAGCTCGGGGTGAGCAGAGTGCAGAAGTCACTGCTGTTTTGTTACCAGCGACCACCTTTTGAGGACAGGGACTCAGACAGACAGGAAGGGGACGAGGCCCCTCGCTGCCTGGGTCTCAGTCCAGCGAGGCGCTGGGGGTGTGGCCGGCCTCTGGGGTCACCGACTCACTCTCGCCCCTCCCCGACAGCAGAGCCTGGCAACAACAGGGGGTGGGGCCCTGGGAACGTGGCTGCGGCCAGCAGTTCTGGGTCAGCCGAGGGAACAATGGCCCTCAGTCTTCCTGCCACCACCTGGGTGCCAGCAGCTCGTTCTGCAAGCGGAGCTGTGTGTTAGGATGGACACCAAGGGGCCACCGGGCCCCAGGAGGAGGTCCGGTCAGGTGCAGGGCCCAGGAACGGGGCAGAGGACAGAGGTCCCGGAGATAGACGCAGGGACCTGGGACAAGCTCCCTTCACAGGGGCCTCCACCTGGGTCCTCCCACCCTGGTGATGTGAGCACTTTGCCTCCGGGGCTCAGTCTGGCGGGGGGATCTGGAGCACGTGGCTGAACCCCTTGCCCTCATGTGTTCCCATCCTCCCATAATAGCCCAGCTGAGCCTGAGTTTGGCCGGCACGGCGTCCACACCCCAGTTCTTGCCTCAGCCCTGGGTCCAGGTCAGCAGCAAAGCAGCCCCACAGGAGCCCCAGAGCCCCCTCTCTTGTAGGAAAAACCAAGGTCCCGGCCTCGAGGTGGAGGTTGTTCAGAAATGTCATGGAGCTTACTCAAATGCCAGTGTCCCTGCTCCTGGTCCTGGGGGGTCATTTCTTCTTCTGGGAAGTCCCTCCTGAGCATCTGTTGTTCTGTACTTCAATACTCCATCCATGCAGTACACAGATCAGGCCCTGGGTGCTGTCAGTTTACTTAAACCTCCAGTCTAAGGTGCTGTGGCTGTCCCCGCCCATAAAACAAACTGAGGCCGGGTGAGGGACATGCCAAGGCCAGCACTGGGTGTGAGCCCAGCCCACTGGCTGCAAGGCCCGTCTCAGTAGTGACCAGGGTGCTCAGTGGACATGGGACATGGAACCATCCTGGCCCTCCGGAAGACTGGCGGTCGGGAGGGTTTGTACTTGGGAAGCACAGAGCTGTCCCACACTTCCCTCTTGCAGCTGCAATTCAGGGACTAAAGAGCCTGGCGGGGCTGGGCGCGGTGGCTCATGCCCGTAATCCTAGCACTCTGGAAGGCCGAGGCAGGCGGACTGCTCAAGGTCAGGAGTTCCAGACCAGCCTGAGCAAGAGCGAGATCCCGTCTCTACTAAAAATAGAAAGAAATTAATTGGCCAACTAAAAATACATAGAAAAAATTAGCCGGGCATGGTGGCACATGCCTGTAGTCCCAGCTACTTGGGAGGCTGAGGCAGAAGCACTTCTTGAGCCCAGGAGTTTGAGGTTGCTGTGAGCTAGGCTGACGCCACGGCACTCTAGCCCAGGCAATGCCAGAAGGCCGAGGTGAGCTCCCGGCTCTCACCAGCACAAGAGGAAGGAGGCGGAGCCTGGAGCCAGTGCCTGGGTTGGGGCCCAGGTGTTGGAGCTGGTCGGAAGCGTGTCCCCTCCAACTGACTTTTGGTATCTTTACGGCAACACTGCCTGAAAGCTGATCCTTAGAATTCTAGTTCCGTGGTATGTTATGTAGGGGGATAAAAACAGTGGCGAAATAAATTTGAGGCACAGTCATTGCGTTAAACAGGATGCTGAGTGGTCTTTTCCTCCAGAGGCTAAAGGATCCAGGGGTCGGTCAACAGACACATAAAAAAATATATAGCTTTTCTCAAACTTATTTAACCATGGAGCCCTTTTTCCTGAGAACAGCTTGCAGGGCCGCCGTCCAAGAAACACCGTGTGGGGCTAGGGTGGCGTTCCAGCCTGGTCTCAAGGGGTGAGGCCCCTGCAGCCCCGCGTGCTGTGTCCCCCCAGGAGTCAGCAAGATCGTGACGGTGGATGTGAAGGGGAGCAACCCTCTGTGGCTGAAGGTGAAGGACCTGGCGGAGGGGATGACCTACAGGTTCCGCATCAGGGCCAAGACCTTCACCTACGGGCCGGAGATCGAAGCCAACGTCACCACGGGCCCAGGGGAAGGTAGGAAAGCGAGCGATGGGCCACACGTCACGTGCAATTGTTCAGCAGCCCCTCCCCAAGTCAGAAGGGCCCCTGGTGTCAAAAGCTGTGTTGGACCCTGGGGACCCAGAGTGGGGGGCAGGGCTCACTCTTTCTCCCTGGTCCCCAAGAACCCCTCTCCCCCCACTCCCCCCACTCCGGCGCCTCTACTTCGGTTAGTGGCATCAGTGTCCTTGTGTTCCTCAAGCCACAGACCCCAGAGGGGCCCCTCCCCTCAGGCCCAGTGCCCTGGGCCTGGCAGCTGCTCCCGCTCCTTTCTGGTGGTCCCTGCCCCCAGTCGTGCTACCCCCATGGCTTCTGTCCAGAAGGGACGCAGCCTGCAGGCCCCCTGCCTCTGACCTGGTCAGACCCCTCTTCCCACCCCCTGCAGTGTTTCCCTGAGCAGGTGACCACGGTGCAGGCGAGTCACCCTCAGCTCTTGCTAAAATCACCTTCCCAGGGTGGCTGCAAAGGGATGCTCATCCCCGGGGCTGAGGTGGGCCCAGCAACCTGCACTGACCCCAAAAACCCCTGGAGGGTCCCACGAAAGTGGCACCTTGAGAAACCCTTGATGGAGCAGCAGCCTCTCCAGGGCTAGGGCCCACGATCCCCCCATTTTCCCCCCATCTCCCCACAGATGCCCCTGAGCTTCCTTCTCCTCCTCCTTTAACGCCCCCCCCTTCCCAGGCCGCACTGCCGCCTCCCTCCCTAAGCAAGGACACAGCCCCTCCCAACCCCCCCTAAAATCCATCTCCTCCCCCCATCCCCCACAGCCAGGAGTGGATGGAGGCCCCTGGGGGGTCCTGGGAGCCTGCCCTCCTGCCTGTCACCGCCCTGCAGCTGTCACTGCTGGTGGCTCAGGCCAGCTACTCTTCACTTTCCCTTTCTGTCTGGTCACTTTCTACTCCTCACAGTCCTATTCTGCGAGGAAGGGGCAGGGCTCCCTGCAACAAAGCCTGCAGGAGGAAGCTGCCCAGGAAGGAGCCGCCCCCACGAGACACACACACACACACATACACGCGTGCGTACATGAACACACATGCACATGCATAGGCACACACATGCAGACATACACACATGCACACACACAGGTGCACAGGCCTGGTCCTTCATCTGCTCCCAGCCCCAGTCCCAGCTGCCTCTCACCTGAGCCAGATTCCTGGGAAGCACAGGCAGGAAGCAGAGGGAGGACCAAGAGCTCAGGGACAGGAGAGGGCTGTTCTGACTGAGCCTTGAACTGTCCCAGGCTGGAGGGCAGGGGGTGGGGGGCATGAGGAGGGAAGAGGTACAGAGGAGGAGGTGGAGGATTCTCCGAGAGAGAGAGCAGAGGGGTCTGCAGGGGAGAACATGCAGCCAGGCAGTGAGTGGCTGGACTCTCTGGAAGCTTCTGGTCCAGGAGGAGATGACAGCTCTTCCTCCAGCCCTGATTGCTGTTCTGTGCAGACTGAGAACGGGGGTCCTGGGGCCGGCCCACCCTCCACTGCCCCTCGGGCTGTGTCCCCTACTGCTCCTGCTCCCTGCTGCCTTTGTCCTGGGGCTCCAGGCAGGATGCCACTGGGGAAGGAAGGAAGGAAATGAGGCCCCCCTGAGGCCATGGGTTGGGACTGGGCGCAGGGCTGGGCAGGGCTGGGCAGGGCTGGGCAGGCTGCAGGCTGCGTGGGCGGGGCTGGGCCTCCTGTCCGGCCCATGGGCTCCCGGGCCCTGGAGGAGCTTCAGTGTGGGGCGGCACTCAGCTCTCTTACTAGCTGGCGTCCACAGAGGCCACTCGGCCAGCCTGTCACCCACCCACTCTGCACTGGCCCGTCCCCTCGTCCCCCAAGCATGCAGGAAGCACCTACTGTGCGCCAGGCTCTGGAGACGCAGAGCTCCCCATCTGGGGGGAGCGGGCCTGGGGCATAGCACACAGGGTGGGCCTCTGGACAGGCACCCCAAAAGAAGAAGGGGCTCAGGCCCCTTGGACTAGAGGCAGACGCCTGGCTTACTCCTCCTACTGCAGAAGTCACCCCTCCCCTGCTCTGGCTCCTACGGCATGCCGGGCTGCTGCCCTGGCGACCTGCATGCCAGGAGAGCCACAGGGAGCCCGGTCCTTCCTCCCCTCCCAGCAGCAGAAGCTCAGGCCCTCCTGGGCCCGGCCCCGTTCCCCCTGCTTAGCCTAACGGCAAATTCCACTGGGGCAGGGGGATTTCAGGCAGGAGGTAGGGACGACGTCACTGTCACACACCAGGGGAGAGGTTGGGGGCTCTTCAGCACCCCATGTCACCCCCTCCTCTCACAGGCCCCTCCTCCATCACCAAGGTACCTCTGCTGTCCCCGTGACACAGCCCTTCGAGCCTAATCTTCCAAAAGGCCCTTACAGATGGGGAAGCTGAGGCACTGGAGGGCTATGTGCATTGATGGAGGTCACCCATCTAATAAGTTCCGGGCTAGAACTAAAAGCCCAGGTCCCCTGACTCTGCTCCAGGGAACTTTCTGGATCATCCCGTATGCCTTCTCCCGCCCTGGGGTCTGGAAGTGGGGTGGGAGGTGGCGGGGAGACCACAGCCCTGGCCCGCAGGCCTGGCCTGGACACTCGCAGGGCCTCCTTCAGGCCCCTTGGCCGGGTTGGTCTGGTGGCCCAGCCCTCCTCCTTGAGCCCAGGCTGGCCGGCGGTGGTGGCTGTGGCTTCCATACGTCCCCTCGTCCTCTGTGTGCCGTCTGCAGGTGCCCCGGGGCCGCCTGGCGTGCCCGTCATCGTGCGGTACAGCTCGGCCATCGCCATCCACTGGTCCAGCGGAGACCCCGGCAAGGGGCCCATCACCCGCTACGTCATAGAGGCCAGGCCTTCAGGTGCGTCCCGCCCTGCCGGGCCCAGACTCCATGACTCCTCCTTCCCTCCTCCCTGTGTCCCTCCCCCGGGACGCTCGTGTCTGTCCTCTGCCTGAGAAAGCCCCGGTGCCTCTAGGCGGGCACTGCTGGAGAGTGGAAACAGGACACGCTTCCTCTGCGCTGCACTCTTGGTTAGGGAGCACCCAGGGCCCCCCCAAGAACGGGTCTTAGTGCTAGTGAGGACCTGCTTGGGCCGAGGACTCTTCGATGAGCCAGAGGGGCGAGCCCTGGGCTCACGCAGGTTAAACCGCACCCTCCACGCGACCTCCCGACCTCTGCCCCAGAACGAAGGAGACCCCGGCTGCCTCCTCGAGCCAGATCTCTGCCATCGAGGCTGTGTCGGCTGCTCCTGGAACCGTACCAACCTCTCCCGTCAAGCCTGAAATCGAATCACGAGAACTTCCAAAGCCATCGGGAGACGAGCGCCTGATAAGTCACCGTGGGCCACCTCCCCTGCTCCTGTTTCACCGTCCCGACACCCGCTTCCCGCTCCGCACCTCGCGGGAGCCCCAGCCGGCCCTGCCAGCTCCCCGTTGCTAGGTTTCCGGGCAATCGCAGGTGCCAGAGCCAGCGAGCCGGAGGCTGGTTCTTTGTACTCGGGGATCCGCGCTCAGGTGATTGAAGTGGAGAGAGAAAAGGACTCAGTGGCTCCAGCCCGAATGGCCGATAATCACCATAATGGGAAGCAGTTGAGCGTATCAGCAGCTCGTACATCTAAAGGAGGGTATTAAAACATCCCAGTGACAAATCTTTAATACCTCAGGGTAGCTGGGCGCTCAGCACCCCGTGGCAAGGAGTTACTAATTCTTCTAGTGGTTCCTGGAAGCCATGCCACCCGCTTGCCTTAATCTTATGCTAATGATCACAGTTGCAAGGATCTAGTGCACCTGGCCGCTGAGGTCTGCCTGTCGCCAGAGGATGCACGAGGGGCTGGCTGCCTCCCCACTCCAGATGGTCCCTCCCTGGCCCTGCAGCGCTGGCTGCCAAGTTGGCCGGGAGACCACTGCGTGCTGCTCCCAGCCAGGGCCTGCACCTGCTTATTCCACCCAAGTGGGCCGGCCAGGGTGCCGGGCTGTGGAATGTTGGCCCTGGACTTGGGCCCTGTTGATTTTCCAGTGTTCCCTGGGAGGCCCAGTGTGGGACCCTGGTGTTGTAAGTTTGGGGGCTGTGACTTGGCCACAGGTAGAATCAGCACTGAGGGTAAAAGGAAGGACCGAGCCAGGACCTCTCGAAAAGCCAGGACTCGGAGCAGGGCCAGAGAGCTGGGGACGGGGTCAGAAACCAGGTGAGGGGAGGAGAGTGGGCAGGGGGCATGGAGTTCGTCCCTGAGACTGACAGCAGCCTGCTGTCACAGGGTAGGTGGGGCGGTCTCTTCCGCTCTGTGCCCCCCGCCCCTGCCGTCTTCAGGATGAAAGAGCTCTTGTCCCACGCATGCCTCCCGGCATGGCCTTGCTTCATGCTGCGCAGGATAACGAAACACGCCTGCTCCCCACAAGCCAGAGAGCTGCCCGGCGCTGCAGGCCCAGGGAGAGATTCACTCAGGGGATTTACAGGCCCAGGGAACCTGCCCTGGGCGGCAGCCAGCTCCCGGGGCTACAGGCCAGAGCCACAGCGTGACATTCCAGCAGCTTCTGGCCTGGCCTGGCTGCCCCGGCCCCACCCCTCGTGTCTGCGTGGGGTTGACAGCAGGCAGGAGGCCCAGCTTCTGGAAGGCAGCAGCAGGGCCCTCGGCGCACTGCGCCCATCCAGCAAACGCAGATCCGGCTCCCAGCTGCGCACAGCCCTGCGCTGGGCACCCGGACACAGTTCCGTGCCAGGAGTCCGGCCAGCCCTGCCACCCATGGTGGTGTGAGGTGTGACCTTGGGAAGACGAGTTCAGCTCTCTCCGAGCCTCGGTGTTCTCACCTGCGAAATGGGGGCAACAGTTCCTGCCTCTCGCCATCGCGGTGGATATCGAAAAGCAAAGCGTGTAGAGCGGGGACGCTTGGCGAAGGAGCAGGTGCCAGCTATCGTCACCGTCATCATCCTCATGAGTGTTATGCAGAGACGAGTGAGAGAATTCAGTCAATGGATTCGCACCCCAGCACTTAGATCCCAAAGCGTGAAGCGCCCAAACCGGGCCCCTGTGCTGTGAAGAGGCCAGGGAAGAAAGGTGTCCATTCATTCATTCCGTAGACACTTGGGAGGTGCTGGTGCTAGGTGCGGGCTAATGAAGACAAGTCAGGCACGATCCTTGCCCCGGAGGGATTTCTCAGCCTCGCAGGAGAGAGAGGGAGAGAGACAGACATTAATCACGAAGGTGTGATGCATACAGGGCAGACGCTCAGAAGCAAACACGACCAACAATGAGGCCAAGGCTTGGGAGCTCCCGTGAGGACGGCTCTGAATGCAGACAGGCCCCCACGGCCCTCCCCAAATACGAGGGGTCTACACTGGAGAGGGGCGGCGCCCCCCCCCAGCAGACCCTGCCACACTCTGGGTCCAAAATTCACAAAGGCCGGTGGGGCGGTCGTGGCACCTCCACCGGAGTGGACTTACACGGCCCCAGGTCTGTGAAAAAGTGCGGTGCGGAGAACGAGTAAAGCCCGCCAGCCCCAGGAAAGGGCCGTGCTGGAGCCGGGGACCAAGCCTCCGGCCCCCAGAGCAGCAGTGACACAGGGTCCAGAGCGGGAGAGAATGGTGCTGCAGGAGGGTGAGGCAGAGGTGCTGGGGGGGGGGTCCAGCTGGGGGCAGCAAGGGGTCCTTGGCTCCCTGGTGGCAGCCTGGAGGACCCACTGGCTGCCGGGTGGCCTCCCAGGACAAGGCTGAGGAGGGAGGACCTGTGAGCACAGCCCACCGACATCCTTCCTCGGTGGAGAGTTGCTCTGGCCAGGCCCCTTCCTGGCCACCCCACCTACCCGCTGGATGCCACCGTGCGGTGGCGGATGCTTGCCGCAGCTCCTCGCTGCTCCTTTCGAACAACGTGAGCGTGAATTCTGTCCCGTGGGGCAAGGCCCAGAGAGCTGGGGACAGAGAGAGGCCTGAAAGACGCTCAGGAACTCAAAGGATGGGGTGACTGGGGCAACATGGGGTGAAGGACAGACTGGGGACTCCCCCTCCACCCTCTGTGTTCCCTCCTTCTCCTCCGACCTCTGCTCCTAAGAGAGGAGGCGGCCGAGGATGGGCCCCCCGTCAAATCCAGGCAACTTGACCAAACCCTCTCAGGCAACCCGACTCTTCCCTGCAGCTGTTATTAAAAAGAAAAAGAGGAGTCCTCTTGTTTTTGTGTGATGCCACTGCTGCATATGTTTTGAATAGCAAAGAGGGTTGCAGCTACTCAGGAGGCTGAGGCAGGAGGATCTCTTTAGCCTAGGAGTTTGAGGTTGCTGGGAGCCAGGCTGATGCCACGGCACGCTAGCCCGGGCAACAGAGCGAGACTCTGTCTCAAAAAAAAAGAAGAAAAGAGGGAAAAAGAAAGAAAGAAAAGAGAGAGAGAGAGAGAGAGGAGAAAGAAAGAGAGAAAGAGAGAAAGAGAAAGAAAGAAAGAAAGAAAGAAAAGTGGGTTAGAAAAACAGGGGCCTGGCTGAGTAAAGGAGGGTGTTCCCATATGATAAAATCGAAGGCAGCCACTTAAAATCGTGTTTACCAACCGCTTTAACGACCCGAAGGCGGCGTGTGCAGAGAGATCTCTGCCCACGCAAGTGCTAGCGTGTTGAGCCTGTTTCTCTGGACAGTGGAACTAGGTTGGTTGTGACAGTACTTTCTGCATAGCACGTGTTTTTTAATGCGTTGCAGATGTCTTACTAAAGAGAATAGAAGGTGTCCTTTTAGAAAACATGGACCAAGGACCATGCACCATGCGTCAGCGTGGAGCAGGGTGGTCAGGCAGCCTGGCCCCCGGGCAGCATGGCCAGGACTGGGCTGGGAGTGGCATTCTGGGCCCTGCTCACTCACGGGGGCTCCCTCTCTGTGCCCCTGCAGACGAGGGGCTGTGGGACGTCCTCATCAAAGACATCCCCAAGGAGGTGAGCTCCTACACGTTCAGCATGGACATCCTGAAGCCGGGCGTCAGCTACGACTTCCGGGTCATCGCGGTCAACGACTACGGCTTCGGCACGCCCAGCAGCCCCTCCCAGTCTGTGCCAGGTACCGGCCCGTGGGGTGGGGGCCCCGGCAGAGCCTGGTGACGGATGCTGGGCAGTGGGGAAGAAGAGGTACCTGTGTACCAGAGGCATTGGGGTGGGGACGGAAGCGCGTTGTCCCCTCTAGGCTCCAAGGCCCAGGTCAGCCCTCAACTCCAGAGGACGCTGGGGCCTTGGATCTCCTGGGCTCCCTTTCAAGAGCCCCAGGAGCCCTGGGTGGGGGCGGAGCAGTGGGCCAAGATGTAAGCTTCCGTGAGCTCATTGCCCGGGAGAGGCAAGGGGGCCAGGCCATAAACTGCGTTTCCATGGAAACTGCCCCCAAAAGGTGACAGGTCAGCAGCCCGTGAAGTGGCAGCTGACACAGGCGGGACTTAGACCCCGCTGGGCAACACCCAGGTCAGGCAGGGATACCCCCCCTCCCCTTTTCCTCTCCTCATATTCCTCCATGTCCCAGAGCACACCAAGGACTCCAGTTTCCAAACCCGTGACCCCAAATCTAACCACTGACCCCTTTGAACGCTAAGGCCCCTTCCCCGAAAGGCAGAAGCACAGCTCAGAATTTCCGCTCGCCCATGGGTTTCCAGGGTCCTGGCCTCCTCCCTCCCCCCACGCATGTCCTCCTTTGGCCAGATTGATAAAACCAACTCATGGGACAGAACCGCTTGGAGACAGAAAGAGAAGAGCCCGCCCCGACACCATGGCTAGCTCTGGCTGGGTGTGGAAAGCACAGTAACATGGTTTTGGAAGGCAGAGGGCTGTACGTGGAAGAGGCATTCTAGAGAGCTCTTCCCATCCCTCCTCCCAGCTGCCTGGCTATCTGCCACCAGGAAAAAAGTCAGTCCAAACTGAACCTGGAGCAAAGCTCTCCCGGCCTCCTACAGGCCGGAGAGTCACGTTTCCCTACGCAAAGTTAGGTCCACCTGTCAAGATAGCCCCTAGGCAAGGACAAGAGAAGACAGGAAAAGTAGCCAGCACACTGCCACTCCCCACCCCACCGCCTGCGCCCTTGGCAGACATCACTAATCAACCCCAGCGCTCTTTCCCAGTGAGCGGGAAGGCAAGCCCAGAACCCATCTCACGTCAGCCCTCTCTCAGTCCTTCACCCGCTGGCCAGAGCCAGAACCCAGATGGAAACATGCTCACCAGGCTTGCCTTAGGTTCTCGAGCCTTCAGAGGGCACGGACCCTGCCTCCCCAGGACCCACGTGAGCCAGGGGGAGGGTCCCCGCCAGAGCGGGAGGCTTGGAGGCCGGAGGGGGCTGAGCACCCTCGGCCTGACGCCGCCCATGTTCCAGCCCAGAAAGCCAACCCCTTCTACGAGGAGTGGTGGTTCTTGGTGGTCATCGCCCTGGTCGGCCTCATCTTCATCCTGCTCCTGGTCTTTGTGCTCGTCATCCGCGGCCAGAGCAAGAAGTACGCCAAGAAGACAGACGCAGGTAAGGGGCCCAGCTGGCTGGACTTGACTCCTTTCATGTGTCCACCTCCCTGTTGGCCAGGGCAGGGGGGGCAGGGCAGGGGGTGGCAGGTCTGTCCCCTCGGCAGCGCACCTGTTGGGGTGCCAGGTGGGGCAGCCTTGGCTTCCCACACACAATCTCAGGCTCTCACATCAGTCCCAAGTCCAGCAGGGGAAAGAGAGGGCAGCCCAGCCAGGTAGGGGGCAAGGGGGTGGGAGAGGGGAGGCCACACGGTCTAAGGGGCGTCACCCTCCCCCCCCCCAGGGAACAGTTCCAAGTCTGGAGCCCTAGGCCACGGGGAGATGATGAGCTTGGACGAAAGCAGTTTCCCTGCCCTGGAACTCAACAACCGGCGGCTGTCCGTCAAGAACTCCTTCTGCAGGAAGAACGGCCTGTACACCAGGTAGTGGGCCGTCTGCCTGGGGGGCCGGAGGGTTGGGGATTGGGGACCAGCCCAGAGGGCCCAGCAGTGCCCAGGTGTGGAGAACTCCAGGGAGGGACACAGAACGGGCAGCACCCGCCAGGCCTTACCCTGTCCCGGGAAGCAGCATCCACGCTCCGGGACTGGGAATGGTAACACAAGACCCAGCAGGGCCCAACAGCGCAGCCGGGGCTTCTACCAGCCCCACCAGGCCCAGCCGCAGCCTGGGGGCCAGGACGTGCCAGGGAGGTGGCTACCGAGGGTCCCCGCCAAAGACAACAGAATGCAAATAACTGGCCACAGTTTTTAAACCAGCCCACTGCTGTTTGGGGCCGGCTGCTCTGAAACTGACTTGCAAGTAGTCACTTACCCCAAAGGCGAGACAGGCCCAGCCCGGGCACACTGGGCGAGCACACCTGAGTAACAGAGCAGGAGCACCCCATTACTGCCATGCCCAGCCAGCCTCCCCTTGTGCAGGAACCCCCTCCCCAGGGCCTTATTCTAAGCTGTTGGAGGACGGTCTCCATGAGGGAAGGGCGGGGCTGGCAGTGTGTGCCCGGCTCCTGTTTGCTCCTGCCTTGTCTCTGACCCCAGCCCCTCCTGTGCCCCCTCCCCATGGCCACTGGGCTGTCCATTTCCAAGGGTCCATCCAGGCCTCCCTGGACAAGACGTGGCAGTTTTCTGCTCCCCTGAGCTGAGGGGACATTGGCCGGAGGGGCTCCTGTCTTGTTCTCGGCCCTGTTGACATTCCCAGCAGGCAGGGAGTCAGCCACCCTCAGGGGAGCTCACAAAGCCTCTCTGTCTCCGTCTTGGAGGGACCTAGGGACGTGTGTGTTCATCAGGAGGACAGAGGGAGGGGCTCGCCGGCCCAGCTCTCATCCCCCGCCAAGTCCAGCCTTCCGAAGAAAGAGCCGTTGGAGGCTGCCAGGGCCGGCCGGGCCCAGCCCAGCTCAGCGTGGCCACGGCAGCCCCGCCAGGCCGGCTCCAGGGCCCTGCCGCACATAACAAGGGGGCATTTCACCGGAGGCCACCCCTGCCCCGCCCCTCCTAGCCTCTCCCATCCCCAGGCCTCCTGTGTCCCTGTGCCACCGTGTGTACACGGAAATGCCATTTGCACCAAACCAGCCCCAGGCTTGCGGCCCTGAACCCAGCCACGGTGACGTTCCCCTAGCCCCAGAGTTAGCCAGGCACCCCATTTGTCCCTCCTCATCCTCCTCCGGGCTCCTGTACCGAAGGCCCAGGCTCTGGAGAGTGGACACGAGAAGGAGGAGGAGCACAGGGTGGAGGGGACCCGTGGGCACCTGCCCTCAGGCCTCGCTGTGGTCTCCTGGCAGGGGTGCTGCTCTGAGCAAGGCCACCTCTCAGCCTCACTGCCCTGCTCTCTCCAGGTCTCCGCCCCGGCCCAGCCCGGGCAGCCTCCACTACTCCGATGAGGATGTCACCAAGTACAATGACCTCATCCCCGCAGAGAGCAGCAGCCTGACCGAGAAGCCCTCAGAAATCTCCGACTCTCAGGTGAGGGGAGGAGGGCCAGGTACCCTGGAGAGGGGAGGGGACAGCGAAGGGAGAGGGTGTGAGTGCCGCCGGGGGGCGTCCTTCCTCCCTTCCCCGTGTGGGGCATGAAGATGGAGGGGCCTAGGAATCTACCCGCAGTCAGGTGTGGGCCAGCTGCCACCTCCTGAGTTCTGCTCAAAGTCTGCCCCAAGTGCTAGTGGGGCCCCTGGAACCCGGATCCTATGAGATCCTTCGAGGGCGTGGTCTCTAGACTTGCAGGAGTCACCCACACGCTCAGCGACTCGGTAGGCCTTGAGGCTACGGAGAGGGTGACTCCGAGAAGAAGGGTGACAGGCAGCCCTGCACTGCCAGGCTGGAGAAATGTGCACCCCAAATAAATACTCAGGGATTGGAATGGGTTCCAGGAACGAGGGCTGCGTGTCCAGGAGCCCCGAGGGTGGGGAGCAGTGTAGATTAGCAAGCCGTTAAGTTTCATAGGTTCAGACCTGAGTGTGAGCCCCGGCTTTGCTGCCTGTGCGCTGGGCATCCTGGGTAGCCAACCTCTTTGAGCCCCAGTTTCTCCATGTGTAGAACGGGGAGGGACGGTGACACTCTCTCATGGGGCTGTGGGGACATCTGCGGAGATGAGGCACAGAAGAGCTCGGCACATGGCAACCGTGCAATAAATGTCAGCTTTTAAAACACTGAGAAGGGGATGGTGCCACTGGAGGGCATGGAGCTTTAGAGAGCGGCCATTAGGTGGGTCACCTGGGGACACTGTGTCCCGGGCCGTGGGGGCAGGCGTTGAGTGCATTCCAGCCATGCGATGCTGCAGCTTCCGACCCTAGGGCCCCTCAGCCTCGGCCAAGCCTGGTGGTTGCCGAGGAAGGGTCAGGAAAGGGCACTGTGTCCCACACCCTGGACCTTTCTGCCCAGTCCTGGGAGAGGAAGCGGAGGAAGCCGTGCTAGCAGGGAGTGCGGCTGCGGGCCAGGCCGGAGGTGCCAGGAAGCCTTCGGTCCTTGCAGGCCCGTGGACTGCGGGCCTCCGGCTCACTGCTGCTTCACGCATCTCCAGGGTTACTGGGGGGCTCGGCAGAGCCAGGAAGGCTGGACCTAACCCCCCAGCTCTAAGCTGGCAGGGACGGAGACCCCAACGGGGGACAGAGCTGCTCTGAGCCCGCGTGATTCAGGTCATGACTTCTTCTTAGGAGTGTCTAACTCTTTGCAGCCTCAGGGACACTGGGGACTCACAAGGCCACCCTGGGGGCCTGTGTCCTTTCCCTGAAGCGTGATTTTTTTTCTTTCCCCCAAAGATGGCCGCCAGCATTTAGACTCCAGTCACTCCAGGTAGAATTCGGAAAGGTCAAGGAACTCCCTCTGCCCGAGGGGCTGTGACACAGACGGCCCTCTGTCTATGCAGAGGGGCGGCCATTGGGAGGGACACCCTGTGTGATGCTGTCTGGCAGCTCCGAACGCTGGCCTTGCAGAGCACACTGTCATTCCACCCTCATGGGCTGGGTGCTGACCCCTCGGGAGCGAGCCCTCTGAGTGCAGAAGACACTGCCCGGGTGTCTTGCTGTCACCATCCCCGCCTGAATTTCGCAGGGACACAGAATCGTCCCTCGACCATGTGGCCGTGCCAGGGCCCCCAGCCTTGACAAAGTTGCCGGGAGCAGAGTCCCTGTGCTGAAGAGCAGCCTGCTGCAGAAGCCACCCCAAGGGCGGGCAGAGAACGCCCAGAATCCCCTCTCGGCCCCCGGTCTGACTTGTTCAGAACAAGCCCATCACTGGAACACGGTTTCCATAGCAACTTGGAACAGTCACTCCATGGAACACATGCCCTAGAGGGAGGAGGCTTCCCAGGTTCCAGAAGGCCGCTGTCTCGGCAGAATGCTCAAGTCCCTTTGGGGGGGCATTTGGCCACCATCCAGGTACTGGATGGAGGCTTTCGGGATGGCTCAGGGTTTGAGTCAGGGCTTGGTGGGGTTGGCTTGGGCTCGTTTACCCCAAAGGCCAAGTTCCGCCAAGGCGGAAACTCGAGACGTTTTTGATCACCGTTGCATCTGCAGTGTCTTGAACGGTATACCTGGTACCTGGGCACGCTATAGAAATAGTTGTTGAAAGAATGGAATGTCACTGGGAAAATGAATCAACCAGAGCGACTCTAGACTGAGTATAGGCTCCCAGGAGAGAGACAAAGATTCATGGCTGTGAAGTTACTCTTCCTTCCTGACCACCACCCAGACCCACCCATTCAGAGAAGTGTGGCCCCTTCAAAGTAACACCCCCGTCCCCCAGGGTCTGAGCTCTGGGCAAGCCTCACCTCGGTTTATCATCAAAGCGACCCCCTGAGGCAGGCATTAGCGTTGTCTTTTTTATACACATGGGGAAACTGAGGCTCAGAGAGGTTAAGCCAGTCGGCTCAGTTCCAAAGGGCAGAAAGTACGAGCCTGAGATCGCAGCTCCGAGTTTCAGAGCGAGACCTTGGGCGCAGGCCTTCTGACCGCAGTCAGCTGGGCCCCCGGGTTCCACCCTGTCCCAGAGCCACCCTCGGGCCAGTCATGTCACCCTCACTGCAGACCTTTCTGGAAGAGCCTTCAGAACCTGCTGATGAGACACTCAAGAGGGCCAAACACTCACTTCACTCCTGTAATTTGATGCACTTGACAAGTAAAAAAAAAAAAAAATTCAAACCCATCCTCAAAGAACAAGCCACTCAAAGGAAAGTGCTCCAGGCACTAGAGTTGTTCCCCAAGCAGCTTTGGACCGGGAGGTCACTGGACCAGCCTTACCCGAGGGCTGCTTTGAAGGAGAGACGCTCATTGGAAAAGACATAGTCGTGGTTGGGTGGGAGAGCCCTGGGCTTGGGTCCCGGCGCTGCCCGTTAATGATTCTGACACGAGAGGGTCCGTCACGGCCCCTGGTCCACACGACACGGCCTGTCCAGAAGCTGGCACGGGGAGGACGTTAACCGAGATGAGGTCACACCTGTGCAGCGCCAGCTCATCACAGGGCTCTGGAAAAGGTGCCCGGCCTGATTTGGGTCCGCTCACTCCAGATCTGTTCTCGAAAACCTGGCACTTGGGGTTAGGGTCACTGTAGGCAGCCTAGGTCCCAGGAAGCTGTGGCCAGGGCACTGGCATGTTCGGAGATGGAAGAACCCAGGAAGACGCTGAGAACATTCGTCACGGGAGGGCTTCAGTCACCCGGGTCCCCCCATCCCCCGGCAGTGGTGTCCTGTACCCACTGTTAGATGCTAAATTGCTTCCATGCCCGCTGGCAAATAGCCGCCACCCCTAAGTGTCACCAAGAGTCCCCAGGGGGGCTGCTCCGTGATTCCATGATGTCAGGGCCATCCCTGGCTCGGTGAGGGGCCTGCTTCAGCTACAGGTGGCTCCTGTTGCTTCCGGGTCAGCTCGTGCCTTAACCGCCGCTGAGGCCCGGAAGTCACATGTTCCAGGGCGGTGAGCGCAGCTCCAGCGGGTGCAGAGGGAGGGCAGACACTGACTTCTCCTTGACACCCAGTGCTGGAGCACACTACTAGGACGTGGAAGTGGCGGAGAGGTGGCCCCGCCTGGCAAGAGCTCTCCATGGCCCGGAGGAGGCAGCCTGGAGACAGAGCCCCTCTCTCGTGTCCTTAGGAGACATGCAAATGAGTCAGTCCTGCGGCTCCTCACCCGCCCAGGCGAGAGGCCACCCGGCTGCCGCTCTGTGTCTGGGATGCCGAGCTGCCACCGTTGTGACTTCCACCTGGGGCTGACGTCCCGAAGGCCCAGCCACCACTCGGGCCTGGGGCTCTGGGTTTCAGGGGCTCAGGAGAACAACTGCTACCTTTCCGAAGGCTCCCCTCCCCCAGGCCTGCTGAGAGCCAGTTCTGCCTACGCCAGCCTGGTTTCCTTTCCACGTCAGACCACCCAAAAACGCACGGTCCAAAATTGGCAGAAATCTGCCCAGCCGTTTCCCTGTGATTTGGTAAAAACAAGAAGTCGACCTGACCTATAAACAAACACACACGCTACACGGTGTGGGAAAGGCCGCAATTCGGGGTGGGTGAGGGGCTAGGGGAGAGAGGGGCTGGCTCCCCAAAGAGGGCACAGGCTGGAGTCAGGGCTGTGCCTCAAGGGGTGCAGAGGGGCACCTAGCAAAGGAGAGGGTGGCTCCCCCAGACTGGAGATTTTTAAAGAGCCCGTGGCTTGTTTGATGGAACTTGTAAAACTGCAGTGTGGCTGCATTCCAACTCCATTTTCAAAATAAGAGCTCAAGTTTGGCAGAAAAAAAATATGTATTTATTTAGCACACGAATCTCAACGGAAAAGGAAATTCCAAGCCAGAGGCACACACCTTCTAATCTCGACCTTCAGCTCTTTACCATATCGTAGACGGCCCCTGTAAGCACATTATAACAGAATTGAGCTTATGTGAGAAACTAAGAAGAAAATATATAGGACGCGTCATATTTCTGGTACTATTTTTTGGGCACTGAGGCCTAACAATGAGCATTTGTGGAGTGCTTTCTAGGCGCCAGACGGGACTGGAAGGATTGCTCGCGAATGTGGCCACTTAAGTCTCGGAGCCCGCAGGAGGCAGGGGTGGTGTTAGGGCCGTGCTCGGGTAAAGACGGTGAGGTGGAGTGAGTCGGGGAGCCCCTCACCCTCCCGTTACCCCTCCCTTACACACCTGCACAGGTGAGGCCCCGCGTGGCGCCCGGACAGAGTGAGTGCTGGTTGGGCTCTCCGTGGAGCTCGCTCATTCATTCCTGGGTGCATTTACTCAACAACTACTTGTTCTGCGCCCGGTAAACAGACACGATTTACGAGTGGTGGCTGCAGTCGTGGGCAGGACGGACGCTTATGAATATTGCATTATAGGGGTTGTGATCTACTCGGGAAGACTGCCTGTGTGTGAATAATCATGTTTTCAGTTCTCACGGAAATATTATGGAACCATAGGAACTTCAGGGAGAAAGTGGAGAACAACAGTCTTTCTGTTTCCTGCGGTGCAGGGGCAGAGAAAGCACCGTG